ACACTAATCTAAGACATTACAAACTTAGGCATTTTAGGAGGAATTGTCAATTTTACACTAACAGAAGCCTCTATTGATCATAGTAGTTGTCGAGATACATTGGCGTAAGCTTCTGACAAATGTTGGCAGGAATCAACTAGTGCCTACCAGATGCTTGACAAAATTGTCTAATGAAGTTTTTTTTTTTTTTTTTGTCGCAACTATGACTTCATTATTTGAAACCGTTCAGGATAATTTAAAAAAAAAAAAAGGATCTAGGAAATATATGAAGCATACTTACTGGTAATAACCTTCGTAAATATTCACCTCGGATAATGCACGTGTTCTTACTGGTGAAGCTGTGTAAATATTCAACTTAGATATTGAACATGTTAGAACACGTGCAAATAAAATATGTATGTCAGTACTTGTCTTGACACCCTAGCCTCGCATCGCAGCATGCCAAAACATCATTGTTCACATGCGATGACATGTCATGGCATGCATTTTGCCGACCTTTTGCACGCTTGACATGACTTGTCTTGACACGGTAAACTCGCATCGTGGCACACCAAAACATTGTTGTTGGCCACGACATGACAAGCGTAGTGAGTTGTTAGCAGAATGTATGTCATGACACACCATGAATTCTCTTTACAAACCCTAATTCTCTGCTTAGTTTCTAGGAAAATTTAGGAAATTAGAAAAGAATTTAGAGAGAAGAGAAAGAAAGGCTTACGTACGTGATCGGCGAGTGGTAGAGCCGGTTTATTGGAGAGAATTCGTCTTGTCCACACGTGTTCCAGGTCACCCACTTCATATTGTCCACATGTTTAGCTTACAAATTCACCACACATGAGGAAGCATGTGAGAATGTGAAGGTAAAAGAGTTGCACATTGGAAAAAGGAGAAACTTTGCAAGGGCTTATAAGTAAGTTTGGTTACTCCTCATATTGCCAATTGGTTTTATGGTGGAACTTCAACTTGCTTCATGGTATTAAAGCGAGTTAAGAAAGAGGACAAGAATAATGGCGGCTCCCACGCAAATTCCCAAAACTACCCACAAATGCAAATCGAAAATAGAGGTCTTCTTCGAGAGCTAGTCGTTCAAAAACGAGTACCCAAACATTGTAGACTGTAATTTCACTCCTCCTTCCTCACAGAAAAAGAAGAAGAAGATAATGAGGAAATTGAGAAATTAAGGTGGTGAGCTCAGCTCAGAGTAACTGGGGGATGAGAGAGAAAATGAGGAGATAGAGCATGATGAGAATGTCCCAGTCATGCCTTTGTCACCCATCTGGGTGATGGCCAACACGCCTCAATTTCGGTGCCTACTAAAATCCAAATCAGGGTGTGTCACAGTACACCAAATTCCAATATCTTTTTATTGTTGCAAAGTTACTTATTACGTTTAATAAATGAATGAATGGTTGGATTATAAGGACTGCATTTTACGGATAGAGAAATACTAGCTTACATATGTGTGACGGAAAAGAAGAAAATATGAAGAAAAAAAATTGAAAAATTATGCCTATAATTTTATTTTAGATATTTTATTAATTGTGAAATTATACACACACGCACATACATATATATACACACACACACACATACACACACACACACACACACATATATATATATATATACACACACACTTAAAAAATACACACACACACACACACACACACACACACATATATATATATATATATATACACACACTTAAAAAATACACACACACACATATATATACACACACTTAAAAAAATTGATAGCCCTAGGCAGGAGCCTATTCAGCTATCCTCAGGGCCGACCTTGCCCTCTATTATACAAGGTTCTTTGTGTGTGTCTCTAAGATAAAATTAGTTATTTTGTAACCCTCTATGCAATTAACATTAAAAAAAAGTTGTTAACTCATGTGTTCCTAAGCACTTTCGATAGAACCACATTTCATTAAAAATCTTCTTGAAGCATCCAGCACTTTAAAATTGTGCAACAATTTCGCCACAAAATCACCTTTAAAGTCGGCCACAAATGGAACCAAATACTTCATAGGTTACACCGATTTTTTTGGTTAAATATTTTCTTCATCTTATTATTTGCACAAAGTCATAATTAAAAAGATTAATGATTTTCCTCTAATAGTTTCTCTTTTGTTGGTTACGAAAATATTAAGTGGAAAAACCTCACAATTAAATCTCAAGCGCAAGTGTTACTCAATCCTCGTTTGAGAATGCTTGCGTAAGTACTCATGTTCCTAAGCATTTTAGCAGAAGCACTTTCGATAGAATCACATTTTATCAAAAATCACAATATATTATACAAAAAAATAATAATTTATCTCAATTTCTATAACAAAATATATTATGAAGTGAAATAAAAATTAGGATTAAATATAATTAATACATTAAAATTAGGGAAAAAAAAAGGAGAAATAAAATATCTTAATATATGAGGTGATTAAATGTATGATAACATGTACGTTGAGTTAAGGGACTGAAATTATTTTAAATCTTACACAAGATTTTAGACTTTTAGTCGAAATTTGATTTCTTTTAAAGACTAAAATAAAGTTTTCTACAATATTAATTTGGAGTATTTATAAACTGTTTGTATAGCTAAACGTTATTATAAGGTCATCTCCAACAAAAAAGACTAAAAATAGTCTCATTCAGAATTATAGCCATGTAAGAAATAATTTTTAAATAAAAAGTATTAGACCATACTCATATACCATCTCCAACTAAAGCGGCTAAACAAAGTCCCTTAACAATTTATTATTTTTAATTTAAACTTGTAAGTGAGAGGTTTTAGGTTCAATTCTTGCGAAAGGCGAATTTGAACCATATTTTTATGACTAGCCTACTGTGAGACTTAGTCCACTCCCCCACTTCTTAATGTAGATAATATCATATGTATTAAAAAAAAAGTTTATACTTTAAATTTATTGATTAATTTAATTAAACTCCCGTTGGATATTTTCAAACCTGACCATTAAATTTAAATCAATTATTGGATTTGGCTTTTGGACCTTTGGCCATCTCTATTGGATATGGCCTAAGAAAATTTAATTAGGGACCAATAACAATAAACAATAAAAAAAAATTGTTTATGGGTGCATTCTAGATTATTTTTATTTTTATTTTTATAAAATATGAGTACATTTATACAAGGGACATTTTACATATAAAAGTTTGGTATTTTTATATAAAAATGTAGGTACATTTGACATTAAAAAATTTGGTACATTTTATACCAAAAAAAAAGGGCACGTTTTATATAAATTAAATGGGTACATTATATATATATATATATATATATATATATAAACAATGGGTACATTTTAGATTTAAAAATAAATAAATTGATTTCATAATAAGAAATGGGTACATTTTATATAAAAAGAATCGTACTTACAAAACAAAAAAATTGGTACACATATAACAAAATGGTCATTTTTAAAGAAAAATGGGCACATTATAAACAAACTACAAGTACAAATAAAAGGTTAAAAAAATTATGAGTACAAATAAAAGTTTAAAAAATATGGGCAAAGAAATTAATATATGAGTACAAATTAAAACAGAAAAGAAAATTGGTATAATTTAAAAAAAAAGTTGCAAATTAAAAATGGGTACCAACTAAAACTAGAAATATATGATACAAAGTTTGGCCATAAATATAAATACACCAAATGTATATATTTGACAGCAGAACAAGGACAAGTTATTCAACAGAAAAGCCGTCTATAAAAAAGGTTGCACCAGCATATCAAGAAAATAGAAGGACAAACGCAAGACAGTACAATAAGGAGAAGTTAATGTACTTAATTTACTTTAAAAGAAAAGGAAAGTGCAAATGAATGTACCCAAATTCCTAACAAATCGGAGATGATCATCCGCTGACTCCAAAGATAAGGAAAGCCATTGTTGTTGCAGATCACATCATCAACGACGATATCTGAGGATCCAACTGGCCGAGGCTTCTTCCCAAGACTACTCGTTGATCCCAATGACAAGGGAAGTCGTTCGTCTTGGTTCCGCAATAGGCGGTGCACCCAATAACTTTTAATGCGTGCAGAGTTGGGGAAAGGAACTATAAGGGGGCGTTTGTTTGCCCTCACTAAGTTGGACTGGACTGGACTGGACTAGCTATTAGTCCAATACTGTGTTTGTTCCATGCTGGGACTAACATTAATGAGACTAAAGGGGACTAGCATGGACAAAACCCTTCACTAAGAGGTCTTAGCGAGACCCCCCAATAACCATGGGACTAGCTAAGACTATCATCTCTTTCTCGTCCTCGTCATGCTCAATGACCACTTCCGACAGACTCCTCATCATCTCCGATCACCTAGATCAATCATTAACTTTCCGATTCTCTTTCAAATCCATTTCACAACCAACTTTCATATAAAATATACCAAATTGAAGCTGGGAGTGACAAGATTACGATTTTACCTGAATCGAGGCCAAAATGTGGTCGAATGTGGCCGAAAAATGGCCTGGAAGTCTCGGCCTGTTTGGGCTTCTTCAAATCCATGACAGATTTGAGCATTCAAAGCTAAGATCTCGGTCTAGGGATGGTGATGAATTTTTTGGCGGTGCTAACTTCATCCAATTTAACAAGGGTTGGCCGGAAAACACACTGGGAAACCTGCAACTCGTCGGGAAAATTGGAGCCATGAGGTTCCATTCGAACAACGCATTGCTAGAGAGGGAGGGAGGACAGAGAAATAGAGATTGGAATCAATAAGGAGTTTGACCAGGAATGAGAAAGAGACATGAATTGAGAGGTCTAAGAGGAAAAAAAAAAGGGAGAGGGTGGGACAATGAGAGCAGAGGAAAAGAGTGGGACGGAAATGGTAGGAAAAGATGAAAAAAAAAAGATAAGATCATAATAAAATATTAATAATTTATATATTAAATAATATAATATTAGAATTTGTTATTATCCAGCTTCTTAGTCTAATACTGCACCAAACGCTTCACTAAGTTAGTCCAATTTAGTCTAGTCTAAGCCAGTCCAGCTTAGTCCTTGAAGCTAATCCAGTCCGAGATAGTCCGGCGCAACAAACACCCCCTAACTTGACAAATATCCCCCTGCTTCTCGTGATCGTCTAAATCCACTAACTTGAGCCACACGAGTTGCCTCAATTTTCATCTCATCCCATAAATAAGGTACAAGCTTTTGTACTCCCTTGATGAGAATACAAGGATGATCAAAATATTTAGTTCGTGCTCCAAGAACAACAGATAGAGCTAATCCTAATAGCGTATCCCCTTGGGAATGCAGAGGACCTTCAAAACCAAATTCATTTTCTGATAGATGTTCGGTGGTTGTAAGATGGTCAAAGGGTATGGCCGGGCCACTTTTGAACTTCATTGCTTGGTAGAATAACTTGCAATTCAGCGCGTTGAAGGGATTCCTGCAAATTAAATAACGTATAGATAGCTAATTACTAACAGTCTTGATCTGAATGCTCCCTCAAGTATTAACAAAATTAATTTTCATTTCAAGAGAAATTAAGAAGAAGAGAGACCAACCTCATTCAACCAATTGTTTTCCAACTTTGCCACTTCATTGCCACTTAGTTTAATGCATTTAGTTAACTCCAGGCGCTCAAGCATCGGGGGCAATTTTGGAATTTTCTCCAATGACGTGCAATCATCCAGATACAAGTCACATAGGCTTGGTGGAAGGACTTGTGGAATTTTCCGAAGCCTCTTGCAACCACTTAATCTAAGTTTCATTAAGTTGACAAATTTGCTAATGCAATCCGGAAGACTAACAAAATTGTTTCTCGACAGATCAAGGCTTGCTAATGCGAACCAGCAACCAAGGGGCACAAGAAAATCACTTTCCGATAAATTGCATCCTCCCAAATCAAGATCAAATAGGTTGGGAAGGGCTAATGTGACAGAGTTGCCATCTGAAATATCCAAGTTAGTTGAAAGCAGCTGAGATTGGGTACTGCAAGATGAAACTTCGTCAAACTTCACCTTATTCTTCCCAAATGTCACGAGTTTTGGGCACTTACCGAAATGAACTTGAATCAGATCTTGCAACCCATATAGATGATGTAATGATGTACCTGTAAGGTTCTCACATTCATTTGCCTTCAATCTTTGAAGCCCAGTAAGATATGTAATTGATGAAGGCAATTCTCTTATGCCACTCTGTTGTATATCCAAGTCGGTTAGAGATTCCATCTTGCCCTCTTCTATTTCTGGAAATCTCTCGAGCCTTGTGCAACCTTTGAGATAAAGCCATTCAAGGGATCTCAACCCAAGTCTTGTTGCAAACCTCGTAAGCTTAGAGCACCCATTAAGATTCAAGTAAACAAGTTTATCAAGGAATCCAACAGAATCATCAACCTTAACCAAACTTTTACAGTCACTTAGAACCAAGTGCTTTAGATTTGGGCTTCCGGATAAGTCAGGGATTTTTTCTAAGAATTCACAGCCTCTGAAATTTATAGATGTAAACTTCGCCGAATTCTGTGAAAGCAAAATCAAAAAAAAAAAAAAAATCACATGCTTTTAAAAGAATATAATGAAACACTTGACTGTCTTTTGGAAATAAAATATGTGTAAATAAATAATGGTTCAAAATAATTTAAAGTATGTACCTTAAATCCCATCAATTGTCTAATTTTCCTGTATGACATATCAAAACTAGCGAGATGTCTTGCATGATAATTGGACGATCCGAACCAGTTTTGAACTTCATTACGTGGAAGAATAACTTGCAATTCAGCGCGCTGAAGAGATTTCTGCAACGACAATAATGTATAGATAACTAATTACTAAGAGTCATGATCTAAATGCTCTCTCAAGTATTAACAAAATAAATTTTCGTTACACGAAAAATTAATAAGAAGAGGGAGCAACCTCATTCAACAAATTGTTTTCCAACTTTGCCACCTCACCGCCTCTTAGTCTAAAGCAATTAGTCAAAACTAGGAGCTCAAGCATTGGGGGCAATTTTGGAATTTTCTCCAATGACGTGCAATCATCCATATATAAATCCAATAGGCTTGGTGGAAGGACTAGTGGAATTTCCAGAAGCCTTCTGCAACCACTCAATCTAAGTTTCATTAAGTTGACAAATTTGCTAATGCAATCCGGAAGACTAACAAAATCGTTTCTCGACAGATCAAGGCTTACTAATGTGAACCAGCAACCAAGAGGCACAAGGAAATCACTTTCTGATAAATTGCATCCTCCCAAATCAAGATCAAATAAGTTAGGAAGGGCTAATGTGATAGAATTGTCATCTGAAGTATCTGAGTCAGTTGAAAGCAACTTAGATTGGGTACTGCAAGATGAAACTTCATCAAACTTCACCTTACTCTTCCCAAATGTCACGAGTTTTGGGCACTTACCGAAATGAACTTGAATCAGATCTTGCAACCCATATAGATGATGTAATGATGTACCTGTAAGGTTCTCACATTCATTTGCCTTCAATCTTTGAAGCCCAGTAAGATATGTAATTGATGAAGGCAATTCTCTAATGCCACTCTGTCGTATATCCAAGTCGGTTAGAGATTCCATCTTGCCCTCTTCTATTTCTGGGAATCTCTCAAGCCTTGTGCAACCTTTGAGATAAAGCCATTCAAGGGATCTCAACTTAAGTCTTGTTGCAAACCTCGTAAGCTTAGAGCACCCATTAAGATTCAAGTAAACAAGTTTATCAAGGAATCCAACAGAATCATCAACCTTAACCAAACTTTTACAGTCACTTAGAACCAAGTGCTTTAGATTTGGGCTTCCGGATAAGTCAGGGATTTTTTCTAAGAATTCACAGCCTCTGAAATTTATAGATGTAAAATTTGCCGAATTCTGTGAAAGCAAATCAAAACAAAAAAAAAAATCACATGCTTTTAAAAGAATATAATGAAACACTTGACTTTTTTTTTTTTTTTTGGAAATAAAATGTATATGTAAATAAATAATGGTTCAAAATAATTTAACGTATGTACCTTAAACCCCTTCAATTGTCTCATGTCTTTGTATGACATATCAAAACTATCTTGGTCCATGACATCATTCCAAGCATCACAACTTTTCTGAAGTACTCTTTGACTATCTCTGAAAGGTTCTTCTTCATAAGACTCGTTACTATCCAATGTAGTTTGCAAACGATCTATACTTTTCTTAGGTACTTGAACTAAGATATCCTTAACAATCTCGCTGATTATTGTAGCTTCGTAGCTAGCAGTTCAAACCAAATAACACATTTAATCAGTGAACTATCTTTTTTGCTATATTTTAGAGATGTAAAAAACAAACAGAGGGAAATATTTCAAACAGAGATAAATATTATACGATATTAACCAAAAGTGTACTTGAAATTTTTTCTCTGTTTCTTATCCAAAATGCACTAGTACTTACTAATAAAGTCCATTATGTGTCGCTTGCTAAAGATCTAAAGAGTAAAAATGAAACAAAAAAACTAAATTGTTGACATTCTTGTAGGAAATTAACTATATAAATACACGGTAAGGGGGAGGAAATGTGCGTACTCTCCCTCCTTGACAGGAAATCCTGACAAATTTGCTACTTCTGTAAGAGCTTTCTCCCACATGGGCACCTTCTCGTTGTTGTTGCCGGATTTGCTCACAAGTTTTTTAAACGCGTCACCAAAACTACTCTCTTGCTTTCGTACATGGGACGGTTCCACCTTGTAAAAAACTGGCAAAACCATTTGTTGCTTTGATTCTCTACATTGAAGAATCCTGACGAGCTCTTCCAAGCACCACGATGAAGATGCATAGGTTTGAGAGAATATGACAAGAGAAATTCTTGATTCTTCAATTGCTTTGAGAAGCGCTGGTGCTATTTCTTCTCCTCTTCGAAGTTCGCGATCAATGAAGGTCTTGATTCCCTTATTAACCAAAGCGTTGTATAAATGATCTGTAAAATTGGTGCGTGTATCCTCTCCTCTGAAACTCAAAAACACATCATATTTCCATGAAGGAGGCAAGGAAGAAGAAGCGACCAGTTGATTGGCCATAGAAGAATTAAAGCATGGTAACCTAAAGAAAAGAGCCTCTCAAAGAATTGGAATGTGCAATATGGTATGACAATGGACTCTTGTTATATCAATCCCCAAGCATTTCTTCCTACCTACTACCTTCCAATGTGAATGTGGTCAACTTGAAGGAGAGGAACTTTCCCCGACAACTTCATTTTCACTTAGAGTACTTTAATTGCTGGCCTACGGCATGCCGCATGCGATGCAACAACATATATATATATATATATGTATATATATTACGCAATGAAAGCGCCGTTGCTTCTCTGTCTTATATTACAGTTAGTCTTCACTTCACATAGGTAACACTAATAAAAATATAAAAAAAACTCGCATGTGCGTCAGTAAACAAAATATATAATACAAAAATTAAGAATGAAGTTTCCCAAAGCCTAGTTGTTTGCGATCTAAAATTTAGGGCATTTACTATAGTACTTCGACGTATGAGATGCATCAGTATTTGAGACGTTAGATTGAAACTATTAAGATCTAGCCATACAAATCTAACAATTTAAATGTTTCATGCATCTTATACACAAGTGTATTGTAGAATTTTTGTTTTTTTTTTTTATTTTTTATAGACAAACGATAGTGTTACTAGGTGATTTTTTTTTTACTAAATTAGAAGTGTCCTCACCCTTTGGTCTTGTATCTTTACTTATACTAATCATGATGAGTTTTCTTACCTTACAATTAATACAAACCTATGACTCAATAGCGGAGCCAGGAATTATTTGATGAGTGGGCTAAACTAAAATTATCACTAGGAGATCAAATGGTTAAATTTTTTTGTTACATACATAAAATTGCACAATAAAAAGCTTGAAAGTAATAATTTAAAGCAAGAAATTTAACTATGAATAAAGCAAGTTTTAACTAGATTTAACAAAGAAAACATTTGAATCTGTTTCCCCGGGTCTCGTTCCAATTCCAAAGAAGCATCATCAAAAACTTTTTCTTGAGGTTCAATTGTATTAGATGTCTGGTGAGAATCATGAGGCTGCTCAGTTGATATTGGTGCGTTATCATTAGATGCAAAAGGTATATCACTCTCTAATTTATCACCATCATCTCTTTTTTTAAAGAATGAATCAATAGTTCTTAACCTCTTCACTGAACGTTAACCTAACACATTGAACAACAATAATACAAGTTTATATGATAAATTACATTTCTAAGAAATCTATCATACTATCAGAAAAAATATATTAAAAAAATTGATTTTTTAAAGTACAAATGTACGAACTATTAAAATTAAAGCAATAAACAAATAAAATCATCAAGATATAAGAATAAAGTGGTCAAAAACTTACCTATAGATGAGAAAAATCAATAAACTTTCTCACTTGTATGCTTGGTTTTTGTGAACTGCAGACAAGAGACGACGAAGGTTTTCTGAACTGAAAAGTGAAATAGGGTCACTGTTGTATCCCAAAAGTCAAAAAAAATAATAATAAACTACTTATAGGAAACCTAAAATAATAAAATATTAAATCTACTTTTTAAAACCGGATGACTACTCCTAGGAAACCTAAACTAATCACTATAGACTACTCCCTATAAACTAATCAAATAAATAGACTTATTGGGACGTGTGTGTGTCAGTGTGTATACAATTTGAAATATAATAATAATAAATTTTGGTATTGATTAAAGTAAATCATTTATTTAATATTTATTAACTCTTACTTTTTCTAAAAGTAGTCATATTTTTCTGAACTTTTACTTGTTGGGTGGGTTATAACAATTAAAAATAATATAATAGTTTAAATTATCAGTATTTTTAACCTTAAACAACTAAAACTCTCCATATGCTAGAGCCCACCCTAGCCTTGTTACTGCCTCCGATGGTGCATATGATATGAGGATTTGATTGTCAAATCATAATTGGATTCTACTTTAAGTGTACACAATTACATTCCTAATTAATAATTTGGTTCACAACACTTGCCCTTGAGCATATACAACTTAAGAAGTAGTCGCATCGGGTTTTTCTTGATTAGGGAATGGAATTGTGTCGTCAGTTCTCGGTAGATATAATAACACAAGTCTCATAATAAATTTCTCTTGTACTGTCAATGTTCTCCAAAAAAAAAAAGTTCTCATAGTAAGTGGTGCCTATCAAAAAGAAAATCTTAAAAAAAACCTTGCTACGGTAATCCAATGGAATTAAGGAGAAAAAAGTGAGTTAATGTAGGATGTCGATGTTTCACATTTTCAGGAGGATCAATAAAGCTCACCAATGTATGACTAGCCCAGGTGTCTCATCAAAACATCATCACGTTACCAAAAACTCATTGAAAAAAAATGTGCTCCTAATCGTAGGAAAAATGATACATTAAAGTTATGAGAATATACTTCAGAATACTCTCCCTAAGTTCGAAAAACTCCCTTGATTTGCCATAGAATAATTAAAGCCAGATAAGCGAAAGGAAAGAGTCACTCACAAAAATGGAATATGCAGTATTGTATGGACAATGGCTTTATATTGTTATATCAATCGTCATGCTTTTCTTCCTACCTACTATGTAATGTAATCAAGTTAAAAGAAGATGAATTATCGTGACAACTTAATTTCAAAAGTGATTTCTACCGAGCATTTTATTACTTATCACCTTTCATTGTGGTAACTTCATTTCAAAATTGAATTTGCAGAATATGATTTAAGAAGATGGTCTCTCTCGCATTACATTTCAAGTATTTTCCTTATTCATAAAATAGTATCCCTTCAGTCAATAATAGCTTAACCTTAATTTCCAATCGTTGACTTTTTTAATTGTTGGCGTACGGCATCCGATGGATCAGCATAGATGTGGACTCAACAACTTAATTGTTCATTCAATCAAATAACAACACATCATTGCTTCTGTCTTATATTATAGTTTGTAATAAATAATAAACCATTTACCCCAACAACAAAAAAAAAAAAAAAAAAAAACTCGCATGCTCATCCCTAAGTTAATAAAAATGAAGTTTCCCGTAAATTTGATGGTATGAGATATATTTAGAGATGGCAATATTAATCCTTTAAACCCGATAATCATGATTAATCCTTTATTAATGTCTTATTGTTCTTCAGGTTCCATTTTTATTAAAAGTTTGTAAAATAAGAACATTATGCCGAAATTCATAAAGAAGAAATGCACTATTTATTTTTACTTCACAGTTTATATGTTGAATTAACTCATTAGAAACACAAAAATAAAGATTTATGCACCTATCAAACTGTGAACGACTACTCCCAATAATAACTTAATAACTTAGTATTTTCCTTAGTTCATAAAATTTAGTATTCTTTCAGCCGATAATAACTTAACTTAACCTTAATTTCCACTTGACTTTTTAAAGAGAATTTTAACAAAAAAACTTCCGGTACTGTTCGTTTAACGAAAAACCACATTTTTATACTAAAAAGTCAATCCTGGTACTATTTATTTATCTTTTATTTTGTACTTATCATTAGAACTAAAAATTTTCCAACTTTTTTTATTAGTTTTATTTTTTTTCAATTGCTGCCTTACGGCTCCAATGCAACAACATAAAATATATTAACCATATGAAAGAGTCGTTCCTTCTCCGTCGTATATTACAGTCAGCCGTTCACATGCGTCTCCGTAAACAAAATATATAATATAAAAATGAAGGATGAAGTTTCCCAAAGCCTAGTTGTTTGCGATCTAAAAATTAGGGTTTTTAACTTTTTATTATAATACTTATTTGAAAAGTTAAACTGAAACTGTCAAGATACCGCAATACAAATCTAACAATTCAAATGTTTCATGTATGGCGTAAACAAGTGTACTATAGAATTTTCACTAATTTTTTTTTTATACAAATGATAGCGTTAGTTGGTAAATTTTTTTCACTAAGTTAGAATTGTGTCCTCATCCTTTGTCCTTGTATCTTTACTTACAGTAATCATGATAAATTTTCTTGCCTTGCAATACAAACCTATGAAAATTTGATCGTCAAATCATAATCGGATTTTACTTTAAGTTTACATACTCATATTTCTAATTAATAATTATGTTCACAACACTCGTTCTTTAGTGTATACAACTTAAGAAGTAATAGTATTAGGTCTTTCATGATTAGGGGATGGTAGTTGTTGTTGTCGATTCTCAGCATATATAATAATTGCTAACATGAGTCTCAGAGTAGGGGTGCATATAAAAATGAATTTCTTACAAAAACCTTGCTACGATAATCCAATAGACTTTAGGAGAAAAAAAGTGAGTTAATGCAGGATGTCGGCGTTTCACATATTCAGGAGGATCTTTAAAGCTCACAAAGATATGACTAGTACATGTGTCTCATCAAAACCTCATTAGGTTACCAAAAACCTAATGGAAAAAAAGTGCTCCTAATCGTAGAAAAAAGAGTACATTAAAGTCATGAGAATGTACTTCAAGATACTCTCCTTGAGTTCGAAAAAATCCCTTGATTGGCCATAGGAGAATTAAAGCCAAATAAGCAAAAGAAAAGAGTCACTCAAAGAATTGGAATATGCAGTACGGTATGGACAATGGCTCTCTATTGTTATATCAATCCTCATGCTTTTCTTCCTACCTACTATGTGTCGTTCAACGTGAATGTGGTCAAATTGAAGGATTAAAATTTTCATGACAACTTCATTTTAAAAGTAATTTATAACAAGCATTTTCCTACCTAGCTATTACTTTTTAATGTAGCAACTTCATTTAAAGTAAATTTACAGAATGTGGTTCAAGAATTGTCTCTGTAGCATTACATTTCAATTATTTTCGTTATTCATAAAATGGTTCATTTCAATTATTTTTTAGTCAATGGTTTATTATTATTATTATTACTAACTATAATATAAGACAGAAGCAATAATGTGCTGTTATCTGATTAAAAAGACAATTAAGTTGGTGAGTCCACATACATGCTGATCCATCGGATGCGGTAAGCCAACAGTTAAAAAACTCAACTAGTAATAAGGTTAAGCTATTATTGGTTGAAAGGATACTATTTTATGAAGGCTTTTTAGCTAAAATAATCTCTGAGATTTGCATAACACATCATTTTAGTCTCTGAGATTTGAAATCAATAGAAGTGGTCTTTGATATTGTACATCATCAATCATTTTGGTCATTTCCTGCAAAATTATGTTAAATAATAATCAAAATGACAAAATCATTTTGGTCATTGTATTCTTATTTAAGTGAGATTTTTCAAGGAATGATCAAAATAATTGATGGTGGACAAACTCAAGGATTAATTCTATTGATTTCAAATCTCAAAGACCAAAATAAGGAGTTATGCAAATCTACCATTTTAACTAAAAAGCCTTCATAAAATTGTATCCTTTCAGCCAATAATAGCTTAACCTTATTTCCACTCGTTGAGTTTTTTAATTGTTGGCTTACCGCATCCGATGGATCAGCATGAATGTGGACTCACCAACCTAATTGTCTTTTTAATCAGATAACAGGACATCATTGCTTCTGTCTTATATTATAGTTAGTAATAATAATAATAAACCATTGACTAAAAAATAATTAAAATGATTTCTGCACATATCAAACAGTGAATGACTACTCCCAGTCCCAGTTCCCATAAGAAGGATCCAGGTATTTTCCTTGGTTCATAAAATTTAGTATTCTTTCAGCCAATAATAACTTAACCTTAATTTCCACTTGTTGACTTTTTTTAATCGCTGGCTTACGGCTAATTTCCACTTGTTAACTTTTTTTAATCGCTGGCTTACGGCTCCGACGCAAAGACATAAATATATACCCATATGAAAGCGTCGTTGTTTCTGTCTTATATTACAGAGTCATCCGTTCACATGCGCGTCCGTTAGCAAAATATATAAAAATGGATGATGAAGTTTCCCAAAACCTAGTTGTCTGAGATCTAAAAATTAGGGTTTTTATTATATAAAAGGTTGGAGTGAAACTGTCAACATACAGCCATACAAATCCAACAATTTAAATATTTTATGCATCTCATATACAAGTGTATTGTAGAATTTTTACTAATTTTTTTTTTTTAAACCAACGACAATGTTAGTGGGTATTTTTTTTTTCTTCACTAAATTAGAATCGTGTCGTCACCATTTGACCTTGTATCTTTACTTATACTAATCTTCGATGAGTTTTCTTGTGATGTAGTTTATATTCAAATAAGTCTATATATACACTTAATATTTGCTGAGTTTTCTTTACTTAGGTTTTAGTGTGTAATCAAGTTTATTGAGTTGGAATTTTGTAGGATTTTTAATGTGGAGTGGTTTCATAAATTTGTGGGGTGTGAATAAAATTACCCTATATAATTTAATGACTCAAACCTATCGAGGGATTGAAGCACAAACCTTCCATGTTCTTCTCTTCTGCTGCATCATCCTTTATATTCTCTTCCAGATTTATCATCCACAAGAAGCTTTTTGCATTCAACTGTATTAGATCATCTTGTTTGGGCAACTTCACTACAATTGTCGGGGCCGGCCGGTGGCGACTCCGGCCCAGCCATCAAACTTGGAGGAACCGGACTAATCTGTTTTAAAATGCAATGGATGGGCCGGACCGGGTATAAGAGTTTTGAAACTTAGAACCAGACTAAACCCGGCCTGTTTGAAACAGGCTAGTTCGGAACGGGTCCACAAGTCTATTTACAATTTTTTGTTTTTTTTTTTTTTTTTGTTAGAACATGTGAATATTTTCAATTTTCCAAGTTTTAGGTTGATTACCACCACCAAATCAAGTAAATTAAAGAAAACACATGTGGAAATTTACTAATTATTAAACACTATGCCAACGAAATCAAAGAAAGAGCACCCCAAAACCAATTTAAAGAAAGAATCTAAACAAAATCGGCAACTCGTTCAAATGAAAAGGATTGAGAGGAAATCACAGAACGCGAAAGTATTTTAAACAAAAATTGGGATACCGGTTCAAAAACAGCCATCAAAATTCGATGAACACAGACAAAAAAACCTAGAAAACCCAAAATCCCAATCCATCTCTTAAACCCAAAAAAACCCAAAATCTACAAACAAAGAAAGAAGGCCACTGCTAATATACTTATAATATGATACAAACTAAAATCAGAGCTTTTTAGTGGGAGGAAAAAAAAATGCCACAAGCAAGATCTAAAAGTCCAATCAATTGCTGCACATAGCTTGATGCCTCAAGATTGCCCTTCCTGGTAAGCCGACCTTGGGATCCAACTTGTCCACGTAGAAGCATCGCGTGCCAAGGAGATTGTCGACACGTGGCGCCGTTTCTGGTTTCTCCGCCTAACGCACATGCTCTTCCACCACGTACTTTCCGCTTCAAGATGGCCCAGCTTGATCCACCCGCTGTACCGTGGGATAAGACGGTATCGAGGCTTGGTTTTGGGGATAATGGGCAATATACGCCTGCTAGGTCTCTGCCTACAAGGAGACCCAAAATCCAGCAAAGCCAAAGCAAAAGAGGAAGGAGACGTGATGGTGGTCGCAACTCGCAAGTCACCAGAAAGAGGGAAACGAAGACGGAGTCGAGTCAGTGAATTGGTGGTGATGTGCAGAGGCATGAATGAATGGGAGAGAGAGATGATAGAGGAGAAGAGTGAGCCTGAAATCCAACGGTGGATATAAATCCAATCCAATCCAATGTTAGCAACAGTTCGAATCGAGGCCCCACTGCCACAATTTCTGGAATCCGCCCTGCCCCATTTTATGTAGGGGTGGAATTTTTTCCCGAAAATCTTGAACCGTCCTGAACGCGTCTTGAAATTTGACTGAAAAATATCCGAACTGAATTTCTCGAAACACTTGGTACCGAAAACCGAACCTGTCCCGAAAGTTTTGGTTTGGGATCCGGCCACAAGTTTGAATGCGTTCGGTAATCCCGAACCGAATGGAATGTTATATATATAATTTTAATTTATAATTAGAAATTACTTGGACCGTTGGATTGGTTAAGATCTAATCCAACCGTCCATTGAGTTAGGTCATTTTGTTATCCCCCTTCCTTCAATATTCCGAGCGCTCACACTCTCACTCAATCTCCCGAACGGCTCTCGTGCTCCCGCCGCTCCGCTCGTCCATCGATTCGAGTCACGGTGCTCCTCCCGTCCTCTATCCACTTCAACGACGCTCCTCCCGCCCTTCGTCCCATTCATTCAACGACGCGAATCCGACACCAATCGAGTCCCAAAATCCAGGTAAGGGTTTTTGAATTTCTGAAATCTATGCCTATTGGTGCGAGAGTGAGAGGTTAATTAATGGAACGTAATCATCCTTTTCTTTTCTTTTTTTTTTTTTTTGCTTGAATTGTGTTTTCTCTCTATTTTGGGATTTGATTTCGGATTAGGGTAGGTGCAGTGCAGGACTTGCATGCCTTTGGAAGGGTGGGTTCACGAATTTATAGGTTCATTCAGATTAAGATTGGGGTGGGTGGGTGCACGAATTTGTAGAATAAAATTTTAAGGGATGGGGAAATACGACCTGCACGAATTGCAGGGGGTTTCAGATTAGGGTGGGTGCTGTGCAGGACTGCAGGCCTTTGGGACTTGGAGATGGGTCACCGGTGCACGAAATTGTAAAGAATGGTGGAAGTTTATGGGTATGTGCAAGATCTGTTTGTGTTTGATTATATTTATGTTTATGTTTATGTGAATGAATCAGTGAAACTTTGATCCGTCTGTGCAGGATTTTTTTGGCTTCAAGGCCCAATCCCGAAGTGTCCCGAAAATCTAGAAACAGTTTTGGGAATCCCAAATCGCGGGAAGTGAATAGTTTTGGTTCGGTTTCGGGATATGAAATCTCATCCCGAAATGTTTTGGTTTGGGATTCGGGTGGGGGTTTCAGTTCGGGATCTTGACCCAAACCAGCCCTAATTTTATGTACATAAATTTTGGACCCGTCTCAATCCACAGGTCCAAGACCCGTATGGCCAGCCCTAATGGATAAAGAAGGGAAGGAGGGTTGGGTGAGAGCTAAGGGTGAGGCAGGAAAGGCCCATATTTTTTACTCTTTTTGTAATTTTTTTTAAATTTATTAATTTTTACTTTATTTAGTATCCACGTGGGCCCATGACACGTGGTAAAGAGTCTAATAGTAATTGTACAGTTAGAATAAGTCAGTCCAGGGCTATTTGTAATTAGCTGTAAATGTTAGCGTCAATTATGACAATTGAATTGTAACTATATATACTGAAATGTGTGTATTGTTCAATAGGTCAATGAAATGAGAAGAAGCGTTTTTCACACCTCTGAGTTTTCCTACAAGCTAAGATTTAATATGGTATCAGAGCTATTTATTTACATCAACCTTAAGGGATGTATTTTTCACACCGCTTAGTTTTCTTACAAGCTAAGATTCAACATGGTATCAAAGTTGAAATGTGTGGCACCCAGTCACTGTTCACCTGTGCACCATGTCACCAGCTAATAGCTAAGTTAACATCAACCTTAAGTGATGTATGAAAGTGTCCCAATTTATGACTTCAGCTACCACTTTAGGATGAAGAACACTTGATGTATTAAATGTTGAAAACCAAGAAACTTCAGGTAGTAAAATGAGATTAACCCAAAAAGATAAATAATTTTTGGTATAGAGTAAGAATTCTAATCATATATGGCCAAATTTTTGCCCTCAATTTCATAAAATGCCAATTTTTATAGGAAAGTGTTATTGGCACTCCAAAAATTTCATTATACACTCCTGACAAATGCATTTTTCTTTCCTAATATAGAAAGTTTGGAGTGTAGAATGAGATTTTTGGAGTGCTAATAACAATTCTCTTTTTATAAAAGATTTAATATATAACCAAACGAGAATTTATCAATAATAGCCAAAATCTAACACTCAATTTCATAAATGTCATTTTTTTTTTTATAAATTCTTTCAAATATAACATAAAAACCACTTAAATAGATGTAAATACCTTTATAATTAAAACCAAATAGACATAAGAGACAACACCCTATTAGATCAGAATTAAGAAAAAAGAAGAGGCACATTTTGTGATGTCAAACCAACTGTAAATTTGGAAACAAAAAGAAGTAAATTGAGAAACTCCATGTCCCCAAGAAGAGAAGAAAAGAAAGACTTAAAAAAGGAGTACAAGAAACAACGCGAGCAAAAATGTCAGGACCGTAGTAGTACTACCGACAAAAATTCTGATGCCAACGAAAATTCAGAGTCCAAAGCTGAGATGGAACAGAAGAGTAAAGGGTCTAGGCTTGGAGGAGTTTGAGTTGCGGCGGACAAAACCAAACCATAGGGAGGTGGTACAGGATACAAGGATGTTCGGGGCTTCCATCTTTCCATTTCAAAACATTGACTTCCTAGCTCCCCAAATTATTGCCCAACTCAACATCAAAAGAGGTCAAAATTTAGGGATGATCTGTAAAACACGGACACGGATACGGCGATACGATACAACACGACACGGCGATACAAAAAATCTCTAAAAAGTAGGATATGATACGCGATAGATACGGCAATTAAATTTACATAATAATAAACAAAGATAAAAATATAATTTAGAACATATTTTGATAACACAAGATCATTCAAATTCAAGTTCGTTTGATTTATTGGAGAAGAAAAGTTGAAAATCTAATTCCCCTGGTATATATAAAAGAAGGATGACAGTTGTATTTATAGTTTCAATTAGAGGTTGCTCTTCATAATTCATATTCACTGATTTCAAGTAAAGCTTTGTCTCTTATTAGTTTTTTATTTGAAAGTGTAAAAGTATTCTAAAAGCATGATACTTGTATCCCAAATGTGGGATACGTGTATCCGTCCAGTCAAAGTATATCCATTAACCATGATATGTATCCAAAAAGCATCCGAGAGTATCCAACAAATATCATTTACGAAAAGTATCGAATACAAGATATGCAACCAAAGTAAAGTATCGGGGCATCATAGGGGATGATAGTTTCTCAAACAAAGATGTAGATGAGATCTATTCAATTGTTTTGGTTTTTATGTGTAAATGGGTTTTGAATTTTGAGAGCATTTAGGTCTATTCATGTGAATTTTCTGTTATATTTAAAATATTTTATAAAAAGTGACATTTATGAAAGTAAGTGTTAAATTTTAGCTATTATTAATAAATTCTCTAACCAAACCACTCATGAATAGACCCAAATACCCTCAAAATTATAAATTTAAACCCTTTCTAGTTCGTACCTTTAATTTTTTTTCCTTTTTTATTTCTTTCTCTGGTGCCTGTGCTTAGCTTTTTCTCTTAATGAATGAGCAGCAAGTATGCAAAATTTCATAGGCTTACGATGAATTTGGATTCACCGCAAAGAAAATTGTTCATAAACTTCATAGTCTGTTGAAGGGTCATGGCTGTTAAAGATCTTATGACAATACATCTGTTATCACAGCAAATAGGAGTTAAATTTAAAAGAGACCATGTTTCATCTTTACAAGATTTTCATACAGTTCAACGTGGCGAACGCTAGCAGCCTGGCCAAATTCCATGCTTGACATCCAAGTTTCTTACATTGCTATGGACATAAACTTTGGGCCCTTTCTATGGACATAAACTTTGGGCCCTTAACCTGAATTGAGGATGAAGTAGTAGTTACCATCCCATTATTGTATGTTTTTTTTAGTACAAAGATATATTTTACATTAAGAAGAAAGAGAAATTCGACTTAACTACAAAATCAACAATCTAGTTTTTAAATCTTTGGTTTTCAACCAAATATCTTTGGTACATATTTTATTAATTTGTCGTTATGCACGTTTTTAATGGATCTATAGTCAACACTTCCAAAAAAACAAAAAACAAAATGGATCTATAGCCAACCCATATCAAATAAAATAAAATTTTTGGTATGGAGTAAACAGTTCAAAAACATGTCCATATGATGGGCGGTGGATCAAATGTTTATTTTTATCTACAAAATCAATTGTGGGCCCAAATTTAAATTATAAACATGAGAAAATGGGACAAGGATTATCTACCCTCCACTTCCGATGCCTTCATGTTTTGTGTGATCACGGTTAAGCCACGCCAATATTTTATATTATTTTTTATAAAGATAATAAGACAAAAATAAATAGTAATATAAAATGTTGATGTAGCTTAACCGTGACCATACAAACAGGAGTGCACGAGGAGGGCATCAGAAGTGGAGGGTAGACAATCCTTGTCCAGGAAAATGAGCCCCAATCTAAACAGGTCCAATTACTCTCCTCTTCGCAAGTGTTCTTTAATTTGGTGGTAAAAATGTGTTGAATTATTATATGACGGTGTGAGTTAGAATTTCGTCAACGATTAATTTAACATCTAATCTAATATACATCTATCATTTGAACGAAAAAAAAAAAAAAAAAATTACTTCGCTCTCCCATCTACTCCCCGGCGAGTTTCCACCGTCCGATTTGTCGACCCATATTCCATGGTCAAAGAGCGGGAGAAAATCAATGACATAAGTTTCTCTGGGCAATCTAAATTTCATTGTTCACGTATTGTAGCTGGTAAACTTTATTGCTCACACGTGGATCAGGTATGTTAAAAGATAATATTTTAAAAGTGGACTCTCCATAAATTATTTGTTATCTCATGTTTTTAGCTCAATATAAAAAATATGAGATGTCGAAGAGTTCATAAATAGACTCACTTAAAAAAAATCTCCTTAGCATTTCTCGTTTGGAAAGAGATCCTTTTGAGCTATACTAGGAGACGTAATTAACCAGCCTCCTTACATAAGGATTCGAATGCAATTATAGACGTGGTTCTTAAAAAAAATAAAAAATAAAAAATAAAAATGAAAAAGCTCTTTCTAGACTCAAGTGGTTTTTTTAGAAAAGGAGAAAGCCGAACGGAAACCTCAAAAACATGAGCAAAGGTTTTAAACTTTTTTAGATACAAGCATTGCTTAAAATTTCTTCGATATGCTTAATATTTTTATGAAAATATCTAAAAAATCAGAAAAAGATATGCATTCCCTAATTAAGACTTCATTATTTGAAATCATTTGGAATAATTTAAAAAAAAAATCTAGAAAATATATGAAACGTTCTTACTGGTAATAACCTTCATAAATATTCAGCTCAGATAATGCCTATGTTCTTACCGGTAAGAAGTTGTGTGAATATTCAGCTCATATATTGAACATGTTCTTATTGGTAAGAACACGTGCAAATAAAAGATGCATGTCATTACTTGTCTTGACACGCTACCCTCGAATCATGGCACATCAAAACATAGTTGTTAACATGCATTTTGCTGACGTTTTGCGCGCTTGGCAAGGCTTGTCATGGCTTGTCTTGACATGGTAACCCTCGCATCGTGGCACCCCAGGACATTGATGTTGGCCACGAGATGACAAGCATCGCGAATTATCAGCAGAATGCATGTCATGACACACCATGCATTCTCTCTATAAACCCTAATGCTCCACTTGGTTTCTCGAAAAATGTAGGAAATTAAAACTAAGAATTTGGAGAGGAGAGAAAGAGAGGCTCACGTACGTGATTGGCAAGTGACGAAGCCAGTTTACCGAAGAGAATTTGGAGGAGAATTTTGAAAGCCAACGACATCGTTAAGGTAAAGCTGAGGAAGGTGAACCGCCGTGCAGTTTTGTTTTTTCCTTTCTAGGTAATGTCTGCCAACATCGATGTTTTGGCGTGCTACGATACGAGGGTTAGAGTGTCAAAGTGTTAGAAAAATGCATTTCACGACTTGTCTTGACACGGTAACCCTTGCATCGTGGCACACCCGAACATCGTTGTTAGCCATGACATGACAAGTGTTGTGAATTGTCGGCAGAATGCATGTCATGCCACACCATGCATTTTTCTAACACTTTGCCTACTATTTCGGAATAATTTAAAAAACAAAAAGATCTAGGAAATATATGAAGCGTTCTTACGGGTAATAAACTTTGTAAACATTCAGCTCATATAATGAATGTGTATTATTCCATCATGGACTACCATCATGCTAAAACCTGTTGGCTTTTGACTCCATCCAAAAATTACTAGCAATTAATTTTCAACCAAGTGAGTCCATTTCCTCTACCAAAGTTAGCCTTATTATTGCCTTTCAGAAATTGTGTGCGTAGGACGTTCGTTCTTTTGTCTTCATTTTCGTTCACTTGAACATATATGATCATTTCTTCGCACTTACAGGATGACAGAATCAAATTATTTGGCAAAGATAACACCCAAGCTCTACTTGAGTCTGTCAATGCAGTTCCAAGCAAGTTTTTACAGGTTTTGTACCAGTATTACGTGTTACTTTCTTCGATTTCCAACAGTTTTGTTTTAGTTTCCATGTTAATGTAATGAAATTTAGCGATTGTTCGTCTTGAAAAGTATAGCTGACGGTTCTCTCGTACGATGATTTGATAGTCTGATATAACTGGTGATGTTTGTGTTCAGTTTATGGAGAACCAAGGCATACTTCTAAATGTAAATACCAAGAGCCACACTGAGGCAAAGTTTCTGTACTACGCTTTCCTCTGATATAATTTTCGTTGTTCGATGAATGAATGATCAAAACTTGGTTTTTGGCTATGTTTATCTACTGCATTTCAATAATTATTTTGCAATATTGTGCTTAGGTTTGGGACATAAACCGACTCTAAAAGAATTACAATCGAAACATACACTAGTCTAAGACCTTACAAACTTAGGCATTTTAGGAGGAATTGCCAATTTTACACCAACACAAGCCTCTATCGATCATAGTAGTTGTCGAGATATGTTGGTGTAAGCTTCTGAAAAATGTTGGCAGGAATCGACAAGTGCCCACCAGGTGCTCAACAAAATTGTCCGATGAAGTTGTTTTTCTTTTTTATTTTTTATTTTGTCGCAATTTCTTCATTATTTGAAACTGTTCGGGATAATTTAAAAAAAAAAAAATCTAGGAAACATATGAAGCGTTCTTACCGGTATTAACCTTCGTAAATATTCAACTCAGATAATGCACGTGTTCTTACTAGAGAAGTTGTGTAAATATTCAGCTTAAATATTAAACGTGTTAGAACACGTGCAAATAAAAGATGCATGTCATTACTTGTCTTGACACCCTACTCTCGCATCACGGCACGCCAAAACATCGTTGTTCACATGCGATGACATATCATGGCATGCATTTTGCCGACCTTTGGGGCGCTTGACGACTTGTCTTGACACGGTAAACTCGCATCGTGGCACACCAAAACGTTGTTGGCCACGACATGACAAGTGTAGTGAGTTGTCGGCAGAATGTATGTCATGACACACCATGAATTCTCTCTATAAACCCTAATTCTCAACTTACTTTCTCAGAAAATTTAGGAAATTCAAACTAAGAATTTAGAGAGGAGTGAAAGAAAGGTTTACGTACATGATCGGCGAGTGGTAGAGCTGGTTTATCGAAGAGAATTTGTGTTGTCCACTCGTGTTCCACGTCACCCAATTCGTATTGTCCACCTGTTTGGCTTAAAAATTTGCCACACATGAGGAGGCGTGTGAGAATGTGAAGGTAAAAGAGCGACACATTGGAAAAAGGAGAAACTTTGCAAGAGCTTATAAGTAAGTTAGGTTACTCCTCATATTGCCAATTGGTTTTATTGTGGAACTTCAACTTTTTTCATGGTGTCAAAGGGAGTTGAGAAAGAGGACGAGAACAATGGCGGCTCCCATGCAAATTCCCAAAACTACCCACAAATGCAAATCGAAAATAGAGGTCTTCTTCGAGAGCTGGTCGTTCAAAAACGAGTACCTGAACATTGTAGACTGTAATTTCACTCATCCTTCCTCACAGAAGAAGAAGAAGAAGAAGAATAAGATAATGAGGAAATTGAGAAAATAAGGTGGTGAGCTCAGCTCAGAGTAACTGGGGGATGAGAGAGAGAATGAGGAGAGAGAGCATGAATCAGATGATGAGAATGCTCCAGTCATGCCTTCGTCACCCATCTGGATGATAGCCAACAAGCCTCAATTTTGGTGCCTACTAAAATCCAAATCAGGGTGTGTCACAATACATCAAATTGCAATCTCTTTTTATTCTTGCAAAGTTACTTATTACGTTTAATAAATGAATAAATAATTGGATTATGAGGACTACATTTTACGGATAGAGAAATACTAGAGTTACATATGGGTGACGGAAAAGAAGAAAATGTGAAGAAAAAAAATTGAAAAATTATATTATTGCCTATAATTTTATTTTTGATATTTTATTAATTGTGAAAATATATATATATATATATATATATACACTTAAAAAAAATTGATGGCCCTTGGCAGGCGCATATTCAGCTATCCTGAAGGCCAGCCTTGCCCTCTATCATACAAGGTTCTTTGTGTGTGTCTCTAAGAAAAAATTAGTTATTGTATAACCCTCTATGCAATTAACATTAAAAAAAGTTGTTAGCTTAAATTTCCCACAGCCAAATTTCAAGCGCAAGTGTTCACTCAAACCCCATTCGAAGTTGCTTGTGTAAACACATGTGTTCCTAAGCACTTTCGATAGAACCACATTTCATTAAAAATCTTCTTGAAGCATCCAGCACCTTAAAATTATGCCACAATTTCGCCAGAAAATCACCTTTAAAGTCGGCCACAAATGGAGCCAAATACTTCACAGGTTATATCCCTTTTTTTGGTTAAATATTTTCTTCATCTTATTATTTGCACAAAGTCATAATTAAAAAGATTAATGATTTTCCTCTAATACTTTCTCTTCTGTTGGCTAAGAAAATATTTAAGCGGAAAAACCTCACAATTAAATCTCAAGCGCAAGTGTTACTCGATCCTCATTTGAGAATGCTTGCGTAAGTACTCATGTTCCTAAGCATTTTAGCAGAAGCACTTTCGATAGAAGCACATTTTATCAAAAATCACAATATATTATACAAAAAAAAAAAAAATTATCTAAATTTCTATAACAAAATATATTATTAAGTGAAATAAAAATTAGGATTAAATATAATTAATACATTAAAATTAGGAAAAAAAGGAGAAATAAAATATCTTAATATATGAGGTGATTAAATGTATGATAACATGTACGTTGAGTTAAGGGACTGAAATTATCTTACACAAGATTTTAGACTTTTAGTTGAAAATTGATTTCTTTTAAAGACTAAAATAAAGTTTTCTACAATATTAATTTGGAGTATTTCTAAACTGTTTGTATAGTTAAACGTTATTATAAGGTCATCTCCAATAGAAAAGGTTAAAAATAGTCTCATTCAGAATTATAGTCATGCAAGAAATAATTTTTAAATAAACAATATTAGACCATATTCATATATCATCGCCAACTAAAGCGGCTAAACATAGTCTCCTCAACAATTTATTATTTTTAATTTAAACTTGTAAATGAGAGGTTTTAACCTTTAGGTTCAATTCTCATCAAAGGTGAATTCGAACCATATTTTTATGACTAGCCTACTGTGAGACTTAGTTCACTCCCCCATTCCTTAGTGTAGATAATATCATATGTATTAAAAAAAAGTTTATACTTTAAATTTATTGATTAATTTAATTAAACTAACGTTGGATATTTTCAAACCTGACCATTAAATTTAAATCAATTATTGGATTTGGCTTTTGAACCTTTAACCATCTCTATTGGATATGGCCTAAGAAAATTTAGTTAGGGACCAATAACAATGAACAATAAGAAAAAATATTTGTTTATGGGTGCATTCTAGATTTATTGTTATTTTTATAAAATATGAGTACATTTATATAAGGGACATTTTACATATAAAAGTTTGGTATATTTATATTAAAATGTGGGTACATTTGACATAAAAAAAAATTGGTACATTTTATACAAAAAAAGGGGCACGTTTTATATAAATTAAAGGGAGTTTTAACGAAAAACCCGTGGTACTATTCACTTTAACGAAAAACCACATTTTTACACTAAAAAGTCAAACTTGGTACTATTCATTTTATCCTTTATTTTGTCCTTATCGTTAAAATTGAAAGTTTTCAAAACTTTTTCATTAGTTTTCCTTAAATTAAATGAGTACATTATATATATATATATATATATAAACAATGGGTACATTTTAGATTTAACAAAAAAATAAATTGACTTCACATATATTTTTTTATAAAAAGAATCGTACTTACAAAACAAAAAAAAATTGGTACATTTTGCGTATAACAATGTGGTACATTTTTAAAGAAAAATGGGCACATTATAACCAAACTACGAGTACAAATAAAAGGTTAAAAAATTTATGAGTATAAATAAAAGTTTAAAAAATATGGGCAAAGAAATTAATATATGAGTACAAATTAAAACTGAAAAAAGAAAATGTGTTCAATTTAAAAAAAAAAAAGGTTGCAAATTAAAAATGAGTACAAACTAAAACTAGAAATATATGATACAAAGTTTGGCCATAAATATAAATATACCAAATGTATATATTTGATAGCAGAACAAGGACAAGTTATAGAAGGACAAACGCTAGAAAGTAGAATAAGGAGAAGTTAATGCTTAACTTTAAAAGATGAGGAAATTCCAAATGAATGTACCCAAATTCCTAACAGATCGGAGATCATTGTTGATCGATTGAAGTGGACGGTTGCTCTTGCTCCACCTCAATATCAATAGGAACATTGAGATTGATATGCCTGTGTTTTAGATGATCATCCGATGGCTCCAATGTTGCAGATCATATCATCATCGACGATATCTGAGGAACCAACTGGCTGAGGCTTCTCCCCAAGACTACTCGTTGATCCCAAAGACAAGGGAAGTCGTTCGTCTTGGTTCCGCAATAGGCGGTGCACCCAGCAACTTTTAATGCATGCAGAGTTGGGGAAAGGAACTATAACTTGACAAATATCCCCCTGCTGCTCGTGATCGTCTAAATCCACTAACTTGAGCCACACGAGTTGCCTCAATTTTCATCTCATCCCATAAATAAGGTACAAGCTTTTGTACTCCCTTGATGAGAATATAAGGATGATCAAAATAATTAGTTCGTGCTCCAAGAACAACAGATAGAGCTAATCCTAATAACGTATCCCCTTGGGAATGTAGAGGACTTTCAAAACCAAATTCATTTTCTGATAGATGTTCAATGGTTGTAAGATGGTCAAAGGGTATAGCTGGGCCACTTTTGAACTTCATTGTCTGGCAGAATAACTTTCAATTCAGCGCGCTGAAGAGATTCCTGCAAATTAAATAACGTATAGATAACTAATTACTAACAGTTGTGATTCCAATGCTCTCTCAAGTATTAACAAAATTAATTTTCATTTCAAGAGAAATTAAGGAGAGAGCAACCTCATTCAACCAATTGTTTTTCAACTTTGCCACTTCATCGTCACCTAGTTTAATGCAATTAGTCAACTCCAGACGCTCAAGCATCAGGGGCAATTTTGGAATTTTCTCCAAAGATGTGCAATCATCCAAATATAAGTCACACAAGCTTGGTGGAAGGACTTGTGGAATTTTTTGAAGCCTCCGGCAACCACTGAATCTAAGTTTCATTAAGTTGACAAATTTGCTAATGCAATCCGGAAGACCAACAAAATTGTTTCTCGACAGATCAAGGCTTGCTAATGCAAACCAGCAACCAAGAGGCACAAGGAAATCACTTTCTGATAAATTGCATCCTCCCAAATCAAGATCAAATAGGTTGGGAAGGGCTAATGTTATAGAGTTGCAATCTGAAATATCTAAGTCAGTTGAAAGCAGCTGAGATTGGGTACTGCAAGATGAAACTTCATCTAACTTCACCTTACTCTTCCCAAATGTCACGAGTTTTGGGCACCTACCGAAATGAACTTGAATCAGATCTTGCAACCCATATAGATGATGTAATGATGTACCTGTAAGGTTCTCACATTCATTTGCTTTCAATCTTTGAAGCCCACTAAGATATGCAATTGATGAAGGCAATTCTCTTATGCCACTTTGTCGTATATCCAAATCCGTTAGAGATTCCATCTTGCCCTCTTCTATTTCTGGGAAACTCTCGAGCCTCGTGCAACCTTTTAGATAAAGCCATTCAAGGGATCTCAATCCAAGTCTTGTTACAAACCTCTTAAGCTTAGAGCACCCATTAAGATTCAAGTAAACAAGTTTATCAAGGAATCCAACAGAATCATGAACCTCAACCAAACTTTTACACTCACTTAGAACCAAGTGCTTTAGATTTGGGCTTCCGGATAAATCAGGGATTTTTTCTAAGAATTTGCAACCTTTGAAATTCATAGATGTATACTTTGCCAAATTCTGTAAAACCAAAATCAAAACAAAAAAAAAAAAATCACATGCTTTAAAAAGAAAATAACGAACCACTTGAGTTTTTTTTTTTTTTTTTTGAAAATAAAATGTGTAAATAAAGAATGGTTCAAAATAATTTAAATTATATACCTTAAATCCCTTCAATTGTCTAATGCCACTATATGACATATCAAAACTAATGAGATGTCCTGCATGGTAATTGGACGGTCTGAACCACTTTTGAACTTCATTACTTGGAAGAATAACTTGCAATTCATCGCGCTGAAGAGGTTCCTGAAACTTAAATAATGAATAGATAACTGATTACTAACAGTACAGTCGTGATCTGAATGCTCTCTCAAGTATTAACAAAATTAATTTTCGTTTGATGAGAAATTAAGAAGAGAGAGCAACCTCATTCAACAAATTGTTCTCCAACTTTGCCACCTCATCGCCACTTAGTCTAAAGCAATTAGTCAACTCCAGAAGCTCAAGCATCGGGGGCAATCTTGGAATTTTCTCCAATGATGTGCAATCATTCAGATATAAGTCACATAGGCTTGGTGGAAGGACTTTTGGAATTTCCCGAAGCCTCTTGCAACCACTCAATCTAAGTTTCATTAAGTTGACAAATTTGCTAATGCAATCCGGAAGACTAACAAAATTGTTTCTTGACAGATCAAGGCTTGCTAATGCAAACCAACAACCAAGAGGCACAAGGAAATCACTTTCTGATAAATTGCATCCTCCCAAATCAAGATCAAATAGGTTGGGAAGGGCTAATGTGATAGAGTTGCAAGATGAAACTTCATCAAACTTCACCATATGATTCCCAAATGTCACGAGTTTTGGGCACTTACCGAAATGAACTTGAATCAGATCTTGCAACCCATATAGATGATGTAATGATGTACCTGTAAAGTTCTCACATTCATTTGCCTTCAATCTTTGAAGCCCACTAAGATATGCAATTGATGAAGGCAATTCTCTTATGCCACTTTGTCGTATATCCAAATCCGTTAGAGATTCCATCTTGCCCTCTTCTATTTCTGGGAAACTCTCGAGCCTTGTGCAACCTTTTAGATAAAGCCATTCAAGGGATCTCAATCCAAGTCTTGTTGCAAACCTCTTAAGCTTAGAGCACCCGTTAAGATTCAAGTAAACAAGTTTATCAAGAAATCCAACAGAATCATCAACCTCAACCAAACTTTTACACTCACTTAGAACCAAGTGCTTTAGATTTGGGCTTCCAGATAAGTCGGGGATTTTTTCTAAGAATTTGCAACCTCTGAAATTCATAGATGTAAACTTTGCCAAATTCTGTAAAACCAAAATCAAAACAAAATAAATTACGTGCTTTAAAAGAATATAATAAAACACTTGAGTATTTTTTTTTTTTATCTAAAATATGTGTAAATATATAATGGTTCAAAATAATTTAAAGTATGTACCTTAAATTCCTTCAATTGTCTGATGTCACTGTATGACATATCACAACTAACTTGTTGCACAACATCATCCCAGTCATCACAACTTTTTTGAAGTACTGTTTGAATATCATAGTAAGGCTCTCCTTTGCAAGAATCGCAAATATCCAATATAACTTGCCAACGATCTATACTTTTCTTACGCAGATGAGAACCTATACGATTAAGAGCTGAAGGAAGGCCTTGAGCATAGGCTACTACACGTTGTGCGAGTTTGAAATAATTGTCTGGAGGTTCATTTCTTCCAAAGGCATTCAAACTTAAAAGCTCCAGAGCTTCGTCATCATTTAACTTTCGGACATTGTAGATGAACTTAACTCCATAAGATTCCAGCAATCCTCTATCTTTTGTGGTTATGATCATTATACTACCCTCACCAATCCATTCGACTTCAGCCAAGCTGTTTAACTGCTCCAATTCATCCACATCATCAAGAATTAAGAGAATCTTCTTTTGCCTCAACAAATTCTCTATAAGGCTCTTTCCTCCATGAGTATTGACAACCTTCGACTTTGAACCACGATTAATCTCACTTAGCAGAGTGTTTTGTAGTTGGATTAGGCCTCCGTGTTGCATTGATGTTTCTCGAACATCTGACAGGAAACAACTACCTTCAAACTTATGAGCAATTGCATTATAAACAGCTTTTGCAATTGTTGTCTTGCCTATTCCAGATGTCCCCCAAATCCCAACCACACAACCACCATTTCCATCGACCCCTAAAAGCTCTTTCACCTCTTGTACGCAAGATTGTAATCCAACAGGGTGTTTGGCCACATTCAAATACGTGCGATCAAGTACTCGGACTAATATCTCTTTGACAATGTTATTGATTATTGTAGCTTCATAGCTAGCAGTTCAAAACAAAAAGCACATTTAATCAGTGAACCTTTTTTTTTTTTTTTTTTTTTTTTTTTTGCTATATTTCAGAGATGTGAAAACAAATAGAGAGATACAAATATTACACGATATTAACAAAAAGTGTACTGGAAATTTTTTCTCTGTTTCTATCCAAAATGCACTAGTAATTACTAAAGTCAAGTATGTGTTGCTTGCTAAAGATCTAAAGAGTAAAAATGAAATACAAAACTAAATTGATGTCATTATTTAGGAAATTAACTATATGAATATACGGTAAGGGGAAGAAATGTACGTACTCTTCCTCCTTGACCGGATGTCCTGACACATTTGCTACTTCTCTAAGAGCTCTCCTCCACATGAGCACCTTCTTCTTGTTGTCCTTGAATTTGCCCTGAAGTTTTGCAAACCCGACACCGAAACTACTCGTTTGATTTCGTACATGGGACGGATCCACCTTGTAAAAAACTGGCAAAACTATTTGTTTCTTTGATTCTCTACATTGAAGGATCTTGACGAGCTCGTCCAAGCACCACCTTGAAGATGCATAGTTTTTAGAGAACATGACAAGAGAAATTCTTGACTCTTCAATTGCTTGGAGGAGCGCTAGTGATATTTCTTCTCCTCGTGTAAGTTGGCGATCAATGAAGGTGTTGATTCCGTTATCGACCAAAGCTTTGTATAAATGATCTGTAAAATTGGTGCTTGTATCCTCTCCTCTAAAACTCAAAAACACATCATATCTCCATGAAGGAGGCAAGGAAGAAGAAGAGGCAAGTTGATCGGCCATAGGAGAATTAAAGCCAGGTAAACTAAAGAAAAAGAGCCTCTCAAAGAATTGCAAGGTGCAGTATGGTATGGACATTGGGCTCTCTCTTGTTATATCAGTCCTCATGCTTTTCTTGGCAACTTCATTTTCAATTATTGAATATATATATATATATATATATATATATATATATATATATATAACACAATGAAAGCATCGTTGCTTCTCTGCCTTATATTAGAGTTAGTCTTCCGTTCACATTGGTAAAACTAATAAAAAAAAACCTCGCATGCGCCTCCGTAAACAAAATGTATAATATAAAAATGAAGAATGAAGTTTCCCAGAGCCTAGTTGTTTGCAATCTAAATTAGGGTTTTTTCTATGATACTTCAATGTATGAGATGTGACTGTATTTGAAAGGTCAGATTGAAATTGTCAAGATCCATTTTTTCTAGCAAGTCATGCATCAAAATCTAAATCAGCTGCAGCAGCATCAACCAAAAGTACTTTTGAGAAAAGCATTGAATAAGTAGAAATGTGAAGTCAAAAGTTAAGAGTGACTGGAAGTTGAACAGCTTACCGGAGGTCCAGTCACCAGCAAGCACTTTCCGGAAGGCCATCTCTCGCTTCTCCCCCTCCTCCCTCTTCCACTGTCGTTCGTTTTCACCCCCGCTCGATCAGCCAACATGACTAACAGGAACGACAAGTCGTTGTGCAAGTGAGGGTACGCTGTTGATAATTTGATACCGTCACTGCTTTGGGCTGGGTATGTTTGGAGAATAAAGCCCGATCAGCCCATATGAGCCCAAAAAATTTAACCTCCCGCACGGTAATTTTTTTTTTTTGAACAATTGATATTGTGTACGCTAAGGAGGAGGGGGTGAGATTATTCTCACAATGGGCTAACAATAATGTGGTTCAAATTCATCTTTGACTAGAATCAAACCTAAGGCCTTTCACTTACAATAATATGATTCAGATACCGATATTTTAAACACTGACTAAAAGTCACTCAGAAGTCAAAGTACTCAAGCTTCGTCTTGTTTGTTGGTCCTCAGTGTTTATGTTGTTGCTTCTGTGGCAAGGAACAGTTGATGATAATATTAAATTAAAAATGAGATATATCCATTTGATTCTAAAGACGGTTTAAGAGTTAACATTACTTATTTGTTATCTATTTTGTAGCCTGAAGGAAACTCTGATAATCTTAGAGGCAGTGATATAGATTCCCATTTATTATCCATCAGGCTGTAACTTGTTGGCTTGTGACTCCATCAAAAACTACTTCAATTAATTCAACCAAGTGAGTCCATTTCTTCTACCAAATTTAGCCTTATTATTGCCTTTGAGAAATTGTCTGTGCAGGACGTTCGTCGTTTGTCTTCATTTTCGTTCGCTTGAACATGTATGATCATTTCTTCACATAAACAGGGATGGCACTGGCAGAATCAAATTATTTGTAAAAAACTGGCATAACTATTTGTTTCTTTGATTCTTTACATTGAAGGATCTTGACGAGCTCGTCCAAGCACCACCTTGAGGATGCATAGCTTTTAGAGAATATGACAAGAGAAATTCTTGACTCTTCAATTGTTTTGAGAAGAGCCGGAGATATTTCTTCTCCTCTTGGAAGCTGGCGATCAATGAAGGTGTGGATTCCTTTATCGACCAAACCCTTGTATAAGTGATCTGTAAAACTGGTGCGTGTATCCTCCCCTCTAAAGCTCAAAAAGACATCGTATTTCCATGAAGGATTACTGGTGAAGGAAGAAGAAGAAGAGACAAGTTGACCTGCCATAGGAGAACTAAAGCCAGATAAACTTAAAAAAGGAGCCTCCCAAAGGATTGGAATATGCTGTATGGTATGGACAATGGACTCTCTCTTGTTATATCAGTCCTCATTTTTCTTCCTACCATATCTGGTAACATTAAATAAGGAACTTTCGTGGCAACTTCCTTCCAAAAGCAATTTCTACCAAGCATTTTCCAACCTACTACCTTTCAACATGGACAGGAACTTTCGTGGCAATTTCCTTTCAAAAGTGATTTCTACCAAACATTTTCCTACCTACTATCTTGTAATATGGACAGGAACTTTTGTGGAAACTTGATATCAGCAACAGTGCTTTTGCCGACACCCTGCACCTTAAATCAGCTGCAGCAGCATCAACCAAAAGCATTTTTGAGAAAATCATTGACTGAATAGAAATATGAAATCAAAAGTTAAGATTGACTGGAAGTTGAATAGCTTACCAGAGGTCTAGACACCAGCATGCACATTCCGGGACCGGCCTTCTTACATCCATATTCGAATGCACTTAATAGACCTGATTCTCTAGTGAAAAAGACACTTTCGAACAAAAACTTCAAAAACATGAGTAAAAGTTCGAAACTATTAGAGCTACAAGTCACCCGGAAGCCGGAATAGACTCAAACTTTGTCTTTTTGTTGGTCCTCAGTGTTTATGTTGTTGCTTTTGTGGCAAGGAACAGTTGATAACATCACTTATTTGTTATCTATTGGGTAGCTTGGAGGAAATTCTGAAGCAACTCCCCCTTGTTGTGACAATACCACTGCAATTGCAATGACAAGGAATCCAATGTTCCATCAAAGATTAAAGAACATTGCGAGGAGATATCACTATATAGGAGAGGCACTGCAGTTAAATATAATCAATTTGATTTATTGCAAATCTGAGGAACAATTAGCTGACATTTTCACAAAGGCATTGCCAAGGGACAGGTTTTGTATATTCAGAGAAATGTTTGATGTTAAACCAGTAACAAGCTTAGAAGGAAGTGTTGATATGTAAGCATGGTTGCTGGATCAAAGTCCAGAATTGGTGAAGTTCAAGTTTGAAGAATTGAAGGATTTGTTCTTAGTTTTATTAGTGTTCTTACTTTGCAATGAACGGTCAAGATTATAACATCTTAACGGTGCATAGCTTGGTACGCGTCTAGTTTGTTATGTTTTAAGTGAAACCGTGTGCCTTCCACGTGATCACCATCACGTTGCATATGAAGGCAACGCTATAATGTTCGGCTCTGATGCTGAGAACCTAGCATTCAAATCCAACGTGATTTCCAGGAGCAACAAACTCCATTTTTGTTCTTGAGTATTCTCTACAATCCCAGTTCATTGAGCACTTCAATTTCTTGTTGAATTTCATACAAAATCCTCACTAAAATCAACCCAGAAAACTCTAAAACACTAACATGTATATTTATATAGATCAAGAAAACAGAAGGGCAAAAGATAGTAGAACAAGGAGAAGTTACCAAACGAGTTCTCGGTTACTAGTTTTAAAAAATGGAAACTAGAACCTGAAATGGTCATTAAACGGCCTCTTAGTTTTAAAGATTAGAAAAGTGCAAACGAACTCACACATTAATTTATATATATGTGCGTACCCAAACTCCTACTATATCAGAAATTGTGGATCATCTGAAATGGACGGTTGCCCTTGCTCCTCCTCCTCCTCAATACGAATAGGAACATTGAGATCAATCTGCCTGCGCTTCGGATGATCATCCGCTGGCTTCGAAGATAAGGAAAGCCGTTATTGTTGCTGATCATATTCATCATCGACGATATCTAAGGATCCATATGGACGAGGCCTCTTCCCAAGACTACTCGTTGGTCCCAAAGACAAGGGAAGCTGTTCGTCTTGGTTGTCTAATAGGAAAAATTCCAAGTTTCTAACCAATTATATTAAAACCACTCGTCTCGTAAGGGGTGCACCCCGCAGCTTTTAATGCATGTGCCTTTCTGGAAACAAAATATAACTTGACAAAAATCTCCCTGCTGCTTGTGCTCGTCTAAATCCACTAACATGAGCCACACATGAGCTGCCTTCATGTCCTGGCCATACCAGAAATACCGAACCTCTGGCATTCCGCTGATGGAAATATAACGAGGTTGATCAAATGGTGGTTCGAGAACAAAAGATAGAGCCAATCCTGACAACATATCCCCTTGTAAATTTAGAGGAATTTCAAAACAAAATTCAAATGTTGTTGGCTCTTCAAAGGAAATATATCTGAACCACTTTGGAATTTCATTGCCTGGAAGAATAATTGCCAATTTAGAGCACCGAAGAGATTCCTGCAATAGTAAATAATGTAGATAACTAATTACAATTAGTCATGATCTGACCTCTCTCTCAAGCATCAACAAAATATATTTAAATTTCAAGAGAAATTAAGAAAGGAAGAAAAACCTGATTCAACAACAAATTGTTTTCCAACTTTGCAACCTCATCGCCTCTTAGTCCAAAGCAATTGCGCAAGTCCAGACGCTCAAGCATCGGGGGCAATTTTGACATTTTCTCCAAAGATGTGCAATCATCGAGATATAAGTGCTTTAGTATTGGTGGAAGGACTTGTGGAATTTCCCGAAGCCTCTTGCAACCACTCAAAGATAGTTCCTCCAAGATGGAAAATTGGCTAATGCAATCCGGAAGACTAACAAAATTGTTTCTCGACAGGTCAAGAAATTTTAATCTGGAATAGCAATCAAGAGGCACAAGAAAATTACTTTCTGAAAGATTGCATCCTCTAAAATCAAGATAGTATAGGTTGGAAAGGGCTATTGTGATACACTTGTCATCTAAAATATCCAAATCGGCTGTGGTCAGATTTGGACATCCATATATGTACATATTTGTAAGGTTCTCACAACCACGTGCTTCCAAGCTTTCAAGCCCAGTAAGATAAACAATTGATGAAGGCAATTCTCTTATGCCACTTCTTTTTATGTCCAAACGCCATAGGGATTTCATCTTGTTCTCTATTACCGGGAAAGTCTCAAGCCTCGTGCAACCACAAAGAGAGAGCTTTTTAAGGGATCTCAATCCAAGTCTTGTTACAAACCTCGTAAGCCTAGAGCACCCACTAAGATCCATTTCGACAAGTTTATCAAGGAATCCAACAGAATCATCAACCTCAACCAAACTTTTACATTCACTTAAATCCAAGTGCTTTAGGTTTGGGATTCCAGAGAAGTCGGGGATTTTTTCCAAGAATTCGCAACCACTTAAATTCATAGATGTAAGCTTTGCCGAATTCTGTGAAACCAAAAACAAAGACAAAACAAAAATTCACTGGTTTTAAAAAGAAAATTATGAAACACTTGGACTATCTTTTTTTTGGGAAAAAAATATATGTTTAAATAAAAATGATTCAAAATAATTTGAAGTATGTACCTTAAATCCCTTTAGTTGTCTGATGCCACTATATGATATATCAAACATAACAAGATGCCTTGGATTATAATTAGATGGCAAATTGAACACAACCGTATGCTCTCGATGAATATTGGATCGTCCACTCAAATCAATCCACCTCAAATCATTGGGCAGATAATCAACGTGTCCAAAAAAGCATGCATTACGGTTTATAAAAATTTCAAGATTTACCATCTGCGAGAAGCTTTCTGCATTCAAGGTTATCACATTTGGTTCGGGCAGCTCCACGACAATGCCTTTAACTTTCTTTGTTCCCTAAGATGAAAAAAGAAATAATGTTAGCAAACAAGTCACATAACAAACAATTTGCAAAGGCTGTTTTAAAATCCTTTTTCTTTTCTTTTTTTTTCAATATCATGCCAAATTAAATGTGAGATAATATATTGCACTTACTCGATTTTCAGTTAGAACATGGTACACGTCTTCATGAAACCACAACCTGCTACGCTTCCCTGGTTCAGTGGGAGATTCTTCGTAAACTATACTCTTACCCATTTTTTCTAGCAAGTCATGCATCAAAATCCTGTTACCTTCAATAGTTATGATGGCATTCTCAACGAGTACTTCAATACAATCTTGAGGTACATTGAGTTTCGAACTTCTTAGTATTTGTAACACATAGTCTTTATCTCTACCCTTAAAGAAGCATGCAATGTCTAAGAAAACTTGTTGCACGACACCATCCCATGCATCATAACTTTTTCGAAGTATTCTTTGAATACCTGTATAAGGTTCTCCTACGTAAGAATCATAACTATCCAATATAGCTTTCCAACGATCTGTACTTTTCTTACGCAGATGAGAACCTATAAAATTAAGAGCTAACGGAAGGCCTTGAGCATAAGCTATTGCACGACGTGCGAATATTAAATAATCATCTGGAGGTTCATTTATTCCGAAGGCGTTCAAACTTAAAAGCTCAAGAGCCTTGTCATCCATCAGCTTTTGAACCTCGTATATCAACTCAACTCCGTAAGATTCCAGCAATCCTCTATTTTTTGAGGTTATGATCACCCTGCTACCCTCACCGAACCAATCAACTTCAACCAAGTTGTTTAACTGCTCCAATCGATCCACATCATCAAGAATTAAGAGAATCTTCTTTCCCCTCAACAGTTTCTTTATAAGGCTGATTCCTTCATGAACATCGACAGCTTTCAACTCTGTACCGCATAGAACTTTAGAAAGAAGAGTGTTCTGTAGTTGGATTACGCCTTGACTTGATGCCGATGTTTCTCTAACATCTGCTAAGAAACATCTACCTTCAAACTTATGAGCAATCGCATTATAAACAGCTTTTGCAATTGTTGTCTTGCCTATTCCAGATATCCCCCAAATCCCAACCACACAACGATTATTTCCACCAACACCTAAAAGCTCTTTCACCTCTTGTACGCACGATTGTATTCCAACTGGGTGTTTGGCCACATTCAAACATGTGTCACCACGTACTTTGACTAAGATATCCTCAACAATGTTGCCGATAAATGTAGCTTCAGATCTAGCAGTTCAAAACAAATAACACATTTAATCAGTAACCTTTTTTTCTATATTTCTATCCAAATGAAAAAGGGTTTCAAATTGCACTAGTGATTACTAAAGTCCAGCATGTGTCGCTTGCTAGAAATCTAAAGAGTGAAAATGAAACACAAAATCGACATTATTATAGAGAACAAACTATATAAATAAAACACTGTAAGGGGAAGAAATATACGTACTCTCCCTTTAGGAAAGGATAACCTGACAAATTTGCTACTTCTCTAAGAGCTCTCCTCCACATCAAGACCTTCTCCTTCTTGTCTTTGAATTTGCTCTTGTGGTCTGTAAATGCGTCACCGAAACTACTCTTTTGATTTCGCACATGGGACGGATCCACCTTGTAAAAAACTGGCAAAACTATTTGTTTCTTTGATTCTCTACATTGAAGGATCTTGACGAGCTCGTCCAAGCACCACCTTGAGGATGCATAGCTTTTAGAGAATATGACAAGAGAAATTTTCGACTCTTCAATTGTTTTGAGAAGAGCCGGAGATATTTCTTCTCCTCTTGGAAGCTGGCGATCAATGAAGGTGTGGATTCCTTTATCGACCAAACCCTTGTATAAATGATCGGTAAAATTGGCGCGTGTATCCTCTCCTCTAAAGCTCAAAAAGACATCGTATTTCCATGAAGGATTACTGGTGAAGGAAGAAGAAGAGACAAGTTGACCTGCCATAGGAGAACTAAAGCCAGATAAACTTAAAAAGAGAGCCTCTCTCAAAGGATTGGAATATACACTATGGTAGAGATAATGGACTCTCAATTGTTATATCAGTCCTCATTTTTCTTCCTACCTTATTTGGTAAAGTTGAACAAATAAACTTTCGTGGCAACTTCCTTTCAAAAGCAATTTCCACCGAGCATTTTCCTACCTACTACTTTTCAACGTGGACAGGACTTTCGTGGCAATCTCTTTCCAAAAGTGATTTCTACCAACCAAATCTTTCAATCTGGGCAAGAACTTTCGTGGAAACTTGATTTCAGCAACAGTGCCTTTGCCGACCCCCTGCACCCGAAATCAGCTGCTGCAGCGGCAACCAAAAGCACTTTTGAGAAAAGCATTGACCAAGTAGAAATATGAAATCAAAAGTTGAGAGTTACTGGAAGTTGAATAGCTTACCGGAGGTCCAGTCACCAGCAAGCACTTTCCGGGACCGGCCATCTCTCGCTTCTCCTCCGCCTCCCCCTTCCACTGTCGTTCGTTTTTACCCCCGCTCAATCAGCCAACACGACTAACAGAATCCACAAGTCGTTGTGGAAGAGAGGATACGCCGTTGACATCTTCACTTCTTTGGGCTGGGCATGTTGGATATAAGACCCGACCCGCCCATATCAGCCCAAAAAACTTGACCTTCTTGTGTGGTAATTTTAATTTTTAACCCCACAGTAACCGTAATAATTTGATATTAAAACAGACCGACACCGTCAATAATCTGGAGGATTAAAGCATTTCATTTCTTTTAGGTGCTTTAATTTTGTCACCAAGGCACGAGATCTGTTATTTATGTTTCAAAAACATTTTCGAAAGTCCTCATTATAAAATAGAAAATTCTCTGTAATTAAAAAAGACGAAAACAGAGAATTTAAATATATTTTTGCCGGTTGCAGAGGATTTTTTTTGTTTTAAATATTTTATCTTCTTATGATTTACAACAAATCGTAATTATAAATGTTTATCTGTTTTCCTCTAATACTACTTCTCTTCCGTTGGTTAAAAATTAGATCTTTGTCTAAGAAAAATAAGTTATTTTGCAACTCTAACCTTAATGAAAAGTACTTATCTGAAATGCCTCACACAAATTTCAAGCGCAAGTGCATACTTTAACCACACGTGTGTTTCTAAGCGCTTTCGATACAAGCACTTTCCAACTTTTTGTCCGCCCTCAAATGTCCAGAAGATGTTATGAGGTGTTTGAAAATGGTTGAAATAGTTGAGCTAACCATCGAAAAATACCCGTTGAAAAGCATGGGAAACTCAAGCCCACGTACTAGTATTAACCCTTAGAAGATAGTTTAGCATCACCCGAGCAATGAGTCCGGAGGTAAGACTACTGAATCAAACAAACACTCTACCTGGAACCAGGACTTGTATCGTCACATGCATTATTGAATTAACTGTTGTCCAAAGTCGTTTTAACTCATTTAAAAGCATTTTTAACACATTCATAAACATGCTCATTCTTACACACGTAAAGGTAGTGTCAACTATTTCACTGCCATGTTTTGTCTAAAACTATCGATTTACGATTCCCCAACAGAGCAACTCGGACAAAAACAGATCCGAACAGTGCCAAGTTAAAACTCATGGTAGCCCTGGGTATTAACGGAATAGTGGCATCCCCTGCCAACGTAAGTCGCTCTCTCTTTCTATGGCACGAGTACACTACATCATAATCATGTGCCAATACATCGCTTGAATAGTATAAATTAAGCAAAATACCGCCACATTAACCTCCCAGAATCTCGTCTGAAGACTTGTGTCCCATACTCCCACACAGTAATCCCGGGAGAATCTCTCAACACAAATTATTCCAACGTCCAGAGGTAAAATCAATCACCATCCCCAGGGTAAAGTCGAACACTAGCACCAAAGTATTGTCGAACACCAATATCATCCCGTCACATACGACGACATTGAACAATATTAATTAACATCATAAACCAAAACCTCAAATGTAGACTACGCAATGATTAAATGCTAATTGAAAAACACACTAACTTGCATAATAAGAAACTAACGAAAGCGTTATGTAACGAAAGCAAACTGAAATTCGTTGAACTTAAGGATCATAAGTGCAAAAACAACGATATGGGAATCAAGGGGAGCAGACAATCTTCAAACTTAATCCAATTTTTGTTTGTGTTTTTCCTAAATCTAATCCCTAAAAGCAAAAACTAGAGAGCCAGCAACTTATCCATAGTGAAGACAAAGTGCAGGCAGGCCTTTCAATTATCCTCTAAGCAACCCTACGCATATTGCCTCTCCCCCTCCATTTCGATTCCCCTACTCTCTACTCATCGTCGTCTTCCTCCTACAACACAACCAAAACAAACAATTAAGTAATCAATTCAACTAATTGAACATGCGAAACAGCGGAAACAAACACAATGTGAGCTCGATTAATCACAACTGACCTCACCGCTCTCGTCCTCGTCTTCATCATCATCATTTACCTCAGACTTGGACTTGTCAGACTCTTCTTCATCGGCTTCGTTATTTCCTTCAGCCTAATTCACGTAAATAAACCAACAAAGTCTCACAAATATCCTCAACCCGATAACTAAACGAATTACATGAAAGGCGGAGCAAGAGCGCTTACTAATTGCTTGTTGTACGCCTGAATGTTCTTGTTATATTCTACCTTCCTCTTGTCTGCCTTGGCTTGATAGGGAGCTTTCTCCTGATTAATTCAAGCGCAGAACATCAAAATTCAGCAAATAATTTCACATTATTCACTAATCAACGAAATTAAAACAATAATTGAACACTCACGGCATCTGACAACGATTTCCATTTATCGCCACCAGCTTTACCGACCTGTTTGATTACAATTGAACAAAATCAAGATTAATTTGCATTAATGTTTGATCTAACTAATTAATTAATTAATCAACACAACTAATCAGAGAGTAAAATCGAAGAACAAGTTGGTAGATCTGAGAGGATAAGATTTTGACTTACGGCAGCAACCGACTTGTTGTTTGGATGCTCCTTCTTGTACTTTTCCCTGAAGTCCTCCCTGTAAAACGACGAAAGCAAACTTAAATTCGGAAAAGAAAAAACATCTCAAAAAAAAAAAGATGCAAAAAATATCTCAAAATCTAAATCAGCTGCAGCAGCATCAACCAAAAGTACTTTTGAGAAAAGCATTGAATAAGTAGAAATGTGAAATCAAAAGTTAAGAGTGACTGGAAGTTGAATAGCTTACCGGAGGTCCAGTCACCAGCAAGCACTTTCCGGGAAGGCCATCTCTCGCTTCTCCTCCTCCTCCCTCTTCCACTGTCGTTCGTTTTCACCCCCGCTCGATCAGCCAACATGACTAACAGGAACGACAATTCGTTGTGAAAGAGAGGGTACGCTGTTGATAATTTGACATCGTCACTGCTTTGGGCTGGGTATGTTTGGAGAATAAGGCCCGACCAGCCCATATAAGCCCAAAAAATTTGACCTCCAGCGCGGTAATTTTAATTTTTTTTTTAGAACAAATATTGTCTACGCTAAGAGGAGGGGATGGACTTAGCTTCACAATAGGTTAACAATAATATGATTCAAATTTGCTTTTGGCAAGAATCAAACCTAAAACCTTTCACTTACAATAATGTGATTCAAATACTGATATTTTAAATACTAACTAAAAGTTCATCTTTGAAGTCGGAGTACTCAAACTTCATCTTGTTTGTTGGTCCTCAGTGTTTATGTTGTTGCTTCTGTGGCAAGGAACAGTTGAAGATAATATTAAATTAAAACTGAGATTTATCCATTTGATTCTAAAGGCAGTTCAAGAGTTAACATTACTTATTTGTTATCTATTTTGTGGCCTGGAGGAAACTGATAATCTTAGAGGCACTGATATAGATCCACGTGTATTATTCCATCATGGAATATACCATCAGGCTGTAACTTGTTGGCTTATGACTCCATCAAAAATTACTTGCAATTAATTCAACCAAGTGAGTCCATTTCTTCTACCAAATTTAGCCTTATTATTGCCTTTGAGAAATTGTTTGTGCAGGACGTTCGTCTTTTGCCTTCATTTTCGTTCACTTGAACATGCATGATGATTTCTTCACATTAACAGGGATGGCACTGGCAGAATCAAATTATTTGGCAAAGATAACACCCAAGCTCTACATGAGTCTGTCAATGCAGTTCCAAGCAAGTTTTTACACAGATTTTGTACAAGTATTACTTGTTGCCTTCTTCGATCTCTAACTGTTTTGTTTCGGTTTTCATGTTAACGAATGAAATTTTGAGACCCTTTTGTTCGTCTTGAAAAGTATATTAGTTGGTTCGTAGGCTGATTTGATAGTCTGATGTAAATTGTGAGGTTTGTGTTCAGTTATGGATAACCAAGGCATACTTCTAAATGTAAATACCAAGAAACACATTGAGGCAAGTTTCTGCACTATGTTTTCCTCTGATTTATTTTCTGACGTTCGATGAACGAATGATCGAACTTAGGTTTTGGGTTGGTTTATCTACTGCATTTTAATAATTATTTTGCAATGTTGTGTTTAGGTTTGGGACATATACTTAGACTAAAATAATTACAATTGAAACATGCACTAATCTCAGACATTACAAACTTAATCGTTTTACAAGGAATTGCCAATTTTACACTAACACAAGCCTCTATTGATCACAGTAATTGTTGACATACCTTGGCGTAAGCTTTTGACAAATATCGGCAGGAATTGGGAAGTGCCCAACATGTGCTTGACGAAATGGTCCAATGAATTTATTTTTTTTTCTTTTCATAATTATAGCTTCATTATTTGAAAATTCTGGCTCCTCCACTAGACATCAATATGTGTCCGCTTAGAATGATCATCCTCTAGCTCCGAAGACAAGGAAAGTCATTGCTCTTGGTGATCATATGCATCATAGAAGATATCTGAGCCCTCCGAGTAGGAGGTCTCTTCCCAATAGTACTCGTTGGGCAAGCCGTTCGTCTTGGTTGCGCGTAGGAGGTGCACCCCGCATCTTTTAATGCGTGCGCCTTCGCTGAAACGAAATATAACTTGACAAATATCTCTCCGCTGCGCGTTCTCGTCTAAATCCAGTACCTTGAGCCACACATGAGTTGCCTCGATGTGCTTGTAACGTGAAAAATATGGTCCCAACCATGGAGATCTGTTGATGAGAATATAAGAATTATAAAGATTAGTACCCGGTGCATCAAGAACCACAGATACAGCCAATCCTAACAACGTCTCCCCTTGTAAATTTAGAGGAATCTCAAAACAAAATTCACTGCCTCCAACAAATTCTTCTATCTCATCATCCTCTGGTAGATGTTCAATGGTTGTGGGATGGTTAGAGGTATAGCTGAACCAATTTGGAACTTCATTGCCCGGATAAATAACTTCCAATCCCGGGCACCAAAGAGATTCCTGCAATAGTAGGTACATATATAGTTAACCTGCAAAGTTAATTTTCATTTCAACAGAAGTTAAGAAGAGAGAGGAACCTCATTCAACAAATTGTTTTCCAGCTTTGTCACCTCATCGCCACTTAGTTTATAGCAATTAGTCAAGTCCAGATAGTTCAGCGTCGGAGGTAGTTTTGGAGTTTTCTCCAATGATGTGCAATCATTGAGATATAAAAACTTTAGGTTTGGTGGGAGGAGTTGTGGAATTTCCCGAAGCCTCTTGCAACCAGTCAAATAAAGTGTTTCCAAGTTGACAAATTTGCTAATGCAATCCGGAAGACTAACAAAATTGTTTCTCGAGAGATCAAGCCATGTGCTACAGTTGTCCTGTGAAGTCTCTAAGTCAGTTGAAGGCAGTTGAGATTCGGTACTGCTGGATGAAACTTCATCAAACGTCCTCTTGTTCTTCCCATATGTCACCAGTTTTGGGCATTGACGCAAAGAAATCTCTGAGAGAGATTGCAACCCAGAAAGATGATGTAATGATGTACCTATAAGGTTCTCACATTTATCTGCAAACAAATAGGCAAGCCCAGTAAGATATGCAATTGATGAAGGCAATTCTCTTATGCCACTTTCTCCTATATCCAAATCCGTCAAAGACTCCATCTTGCGCTCTTCTATTTCTGGGAAACTCTCGAGGCTTGCGCAACTACGAAGAGAAAGCGTTTTAAGGAATCTCGATCCAAGTCTTGTTACAAACCTCGTGAGCTTAGAGCACCCATAAAGATTCAATTCAACAAGTTTATCAAGGAATCCAACAGAATCATCAACTTCAACCAAACTTTTACAATCACTTAGAACCAAGTGCTTTAGATTTGGGCTTCCAGATAAGTCGGGGATTTTTTCCAAGAATTCGCAACCACTTAAATTCATATTTGTAAGCTTTGCCAAATTCTGTGAAACCAAAACCAAAACCAAAACACTTCAGTTTTTTTTTGGGGGGGGGGGGGGAGAAATAAAATATATGTTCAAATAAATAATTGTTTAAATAATTTAAAATATGTACCTTAAATTCCTTCAATGGTCTGATGCCACTATATGGCACATCAAACCCAGCGAGATGTCTTGGATGATAATTGGATGGTAAATTGAACACAAGTCTGTGCCTTTGCTGAAAATTGGATTGTCCACCCAATTCAATCCACCTCAAATCGTTGGGCAGATAATCAACGCGCCCAAAAAAGCGTGCATTACGGTTTATAAAAATTTCAAGATTTACCATCCGCAGGAAGCTTTCTGCATTCAAGGTTATCACATCTGGTTCGGGCAGCTCCACCACAATGCCTCTAATTTTCTTTGTTCCCTAAGATGAAAAAAGAAATAATGTTAGCAAACAAGTCATATAACAAAGAATTTACAAAGGCTGTTTTAAAATCCTTTTTTTTTCTATATCATGCCAAATTAAATGTAAGAAAATATATTGTACTTACCTGATTTTCAGTTAGAACATGGTACACGTCTTCATGAAACCACAACCTGCTACGCTTCCCTGGTTCAGTGGGAGATTCTTCGTAAACTATACGCTTACCCATTTTTTCTAGCAAGTCATGCATCAAAATCCTATTATATTCAATAGTTATGATGGCATTCTCAACAAGTACTTCAATACAATCTTGAGGTACATTGAGTTTCGAACTTTTTAATATTTGTAACACGTAGTCTTTATGTTCACCCTTAAAGAAACATGCAATGTCTAGGAAAACTTGTTGCACGACATAATCCCAGGCATCATAACTTTTTCGAAGTATTCTTTGAATATCTGTATAAGGTTCTCCTACGTAAGAATCGTAACTATCCAATATAGCTTTCCAACGATCTATACTTTTCTTACGCAAATGAGAACCTATCAAATTAAGAGCTAACGGAAGGCCTTGAGCATAAGCTATTGCACGATGTGCGAGTATTAAATAATCATCCGGAGGTTCATTTATTCCGAAGGCGTTCAAACTTAAAAGCTCAAGAGCCTTGTCATCCATTAGCTTTTGGACCTCGTATATCAACTCAACTCCATAAGATTCCAGCAATCCTCTATTTTTTGAGGTTATGATCACTCTGCTACCCTCACCGAACCAATCAACTTCAACCAAGTTGTTTAACTGCTCCAATCGATCCACATCATCAAGAATTAAGAGAATCTTCTTTCCCCTCAACAGTTTCTTTATAAGGCTGATTCCTTCATGAACATCGACAACTTTCAACTCTGTACCGCATAGAACTTTAGAAAGAAGAGTGTTTTGTAGCTGGATTACGCCTTGACTTGATGTCGATGTTTCTCTAACATCTGCTAAGAAACATCTACCTTCAAACTTATGAGCAATTGCATTATAAACAGCTTTTGCAATTGTTGTCTTGCCTATTCCAGATATCCCCCAAATCCCAACCACACAACGATCATTTCCACCAACACCTAAAAGCTCTTTCACCTCTTGTACGCACGATTGTATTCCAACTGGGTGTTTGGCCACATTCAAACATGTGTCACCACGTACCTTGACTAAGATATCCTCAACAACGTTGCTGATAAATGTAGCTTCAGAGCTAGCAGTTCAAAACAAATAACACATTTAATCAGTGAACTTTTTTTTTCTATATTTCTATCCAAATGAAAAAGGGTTTCAAATTGCACTAGTGATTACTAAAGTCCAGCATGTGTCGCTTGCTAGAAATCTAAAGAGTAAAAATGAAACACAAAATCGACATTATTATAGAGAATTAACTGTATAAAGAAAACACTGTAAGGGGAAGAAATATACGTACTCTCCCTTTAGGAAAGGATATCCTGACAAATTTGCTACTTCTCTAAGAGCTCTCCTCCACATCAAGACCTTCTCCTTCTTGTCTTTGAATTTGCTCTCGTGGTCTGTAAATGCGTCACCGAAACTACTCTTTTGATTTCGTACATGGGACGGATCCACCTTGTAAAAAACTGGCAAAACTATTTGTTTCTTTGATTCTCTACAGTGAAGGATCTTGACAAGCTCGTCCAAGCACCACCTTGAGGATGCATAGCTTTTAGAGAATATGACAAGAGAAATTCTCGACTCTTCAATTGCTTTGAAAAGAGCCGGAGATATTTCTTCTCCTCTTGGAAGTTGGCGATCGATGAAGGTGTGGATTCCTTTATCGACCAAACCCTTGTATAAGTGATCTGTAAAACTGGTGCATGTATCCTCCCCTCTAAAGCTCAAAAAGATATCGTATTTCCATGAAGGAGTACTGCTGAAGGAAGAAGAAGAGACAACTTGATTGGTCATAGGAGAACTAAAGCCAGATAAACTAAAGAAAGGAGCCTCTCAAAAGAGTTGGAATATGCAGTACGGTATGGACAACGGACTCTCTCTTGTTATATCAGTCCTCATACTTTTCTTCCTACCTAATCTGGTCAAGTTGAAGCAGAGGAACTTTCGTGGCTACTTCCTTCCAAAAGTGATTTCTACCAAGCATTTTCCTACCTACTACCTTTCAATGTGGACAGGAAGTTTCGTGGCAATTTTTTTTCCAAAAGTGATTTCTACCAAGCATTTTCTTACCTACTATCTTTCAATCTGGACAAGAACTTTCGTGGAAACTTGATTTCAGCAACAGTGCCTATGCCGACACCCCGCACCCGAAATCAGCTGCAGCAGCAACATCCAAAAGTACTTTTTAGAAAAGCATTGAATAAGTACAAATGTGAAATCAAGAGTTAAGAGTGACTGGAAGTTGAATAGCTTACCGGAGGTCCAGTCACCAGCAAGCACTTTCCGGGACCGGCCATTTCTCGCTTCTCCTCCGCCCCCTCTTCCACTGTCGTTCGTTTTTACCCCCGCTGGATCAGCCAACACGACTAACAGAATCCACATGTCGTTGTGGAAGAGACGGCACGCGGGTGTTATCTTCACTGCTTTGGGCTGGGCATGTTGGATATTACGCCCGACCCGCCCATATCAGCCCAAAAAACTTGACCTTCCGTGTGGTAATTTTAATTTTTAATCCCATAGTAACCGTAATAATTTGATATTAAAACAGGGCGACACTGTCAATAATCTGGGGGATTAAAGCATTTCATTTCTTTTATGCTCTTTAATTTTGTTAGCAAGGCACGAGATATGTTATTTATGTTTCAAAAACACTTTTTAAAGTCGTCATTATAAAATAGAAAATTCTCAGTAATTAAAAAAGTCGAAAACAAAGAATCTAAATATATTTTTGCCAGTCGCGGATGATTTGCAACAGATCATAATTATAAATGTTTATCTATTTTCCTATAATACTACTTCTCTTCCGTTGGTTAAAAATTAGATCTTTGTCTAAGAAAATTAAGTTATTTTGCAACTCTATGCAATTAACCTTAACGAAAAAGTACTTATCTGAAATACCTCACACCCAAATTTCAAGCGCAAGGGCATACTTTAACCACACTTGTGTTTCTAAGCACTTTCGATAGGAGCACTTTTCCAACTTTTTGTCCGCCCTCGAATGTCCGGAAGATGCTATTAGGTGTTTGAAAATGGTTGAAATAGTTGAGTTAACCATTGAAAAATACCCGTTCAAAAGCATAGGAAACTCAAGCCCATGTACTAGTATTGACCCTTGGAAGATAGTTTAGCATCACCCAAGCAATGAGTCTGGAGGTAAGGTAAGATTAGTGAATCAGGCAAACCCTCTACCTTGTATCGTCATGTGCATCATTGAATTAAGCATTGTCCAAAGTTGTTTTAACTCATATAAAAGCGTTTTTAACATTCATAAACATGCTCATTCTTACTCAAGCAAAGGTAGTGGCAACCATTTCACTGCCAGGTTTTATCTACAACTATCAATTTCCGATTCCCCAACATAAGTCGCTCTCTCGTTCTATGGCATGAGTACACTGCATATAATCCCATGCCAATACGTCGCTTGAATAGTTTAAATTAAGCAAAATACCGCCACATTAACTTCCCAGATTCTCGTCCCAAGACTTAATCCTGGGAGAATCTCTCAACACAAATTATTCTAATGTCCAGAGGTAAAATCAATCACCATCCCCAGGGTAAGGTCGAACACTAGCACCAGAGTATTGTCGAACACCAATATCATCACGTCACATATGACAACACTAACTTGCATAATAAGAAACTAACGAAAGCAAACTGAAATTCATTGAACATAAGGAGGATCATTAAGTACAAAAACAACGATATGGGAATCAAGGGGAGCAGACAATCTTCAAACTTAATCCGATTTTTGTTTGTGTTTCTCCTAAATATAATCCCTAAAAACAAAAGTAGATAGCCAGCAACTTATCCATAGTGAAGACGAAGTGCAGGCAGGCCTTTCAATTGTCCTCTAAGCAACCCTACACATATCGCCTCTCCCCCTCCATTTCAATTCCCCTACTCTCTACTCGTCATCGTCTTCCTCCTACAACACAACCAAAACAAACAATTAAGTAACCAATTCAACCACTTGAACATGCGAAACAACAGAAACAAACACAATGTGAGCTCGATTAATTACAACTGACCTCACCGCTCTCGTCCTCGTCTTCATCATCATCATTTACCTCAGACTTGGACTTGTCAGACTCTTCTTCATCAGCTTCGTTATTTCCTTCAGCCTAATTCACGTAAATAAACCAACAAAATCTCACAAATATCCTCAACCTGATAACTAAGCGAATTACATGAAAGCCGGAGCAAGAGCGCTTACTAATTGCTTGTTGTATGCCTGAATGTTCTTGTTATATTCTACCTTCCTCTTGTCTGCCTTGGCTTGATAGGGAGCTTTCTCCTGATTAATTCAAGCACAACCCATCAAAATTCAGCAAAATAATTTCACATTATTCACTAATCAACGAAATTAAAACGATAATTGAACACTCACGGCATCTGACAACGATTTCCATTTATCGCCACCAGCCTTACCGACCTGTTTGATTACAATTGAACAAAATCAAGATTAATTTGCATTAATGTTTGATCTAACTAATTAATTAATTAACCAAAACAACTAATTAGAGAGTAAAATCGAAGAACAAGTTGGTAGATCCGAGAGGATGAGATTTTGACTTACGGCAGCAACCGACTTGTTGTTTGGATGCTCCTTCTTGTACTTCTCCCTGAAGTCCTCCCTGTAAAACGACGAAAGCAAACTTAAATTCGGTAAAGGAAAAATATCTAAAAAATAAAAAATGCAGAAAAGGTCAGATCTAAAACTGGAACCGGAGAGAGAGAAAGAGAGTTGACCGTACATGAAAACGAAGAAGGCACTCGCAGGCCTCTTCGGCTTGTTCGGATCCTTTCCGGCTTTCTTCGCCGGCTTCTTGCTCGCTCCGGCACTCTTGCTCTTCAACCTTTCAAAATTCAAAAAAAAAAAAAAATCAGCAAAAATTCAAACACACAAAGCAAGGCAGAAATCAAAACACGAGAGAACAAATCACAGTTCTCCGATCGAACCCATGCAATCGGAGAGTAATCAAAGCACAATAGAGCACAAAACTCACTTCGTATCGCGTTTGGGAGCAGCAGCTCTGGCTTTACCCATGGCGAACCTGCAAACACACAAAAAAAGTCAAAATTCTGTGAGAATCAGCGAGAATCGTTCGGAAACGGTCAAAAACTGCTCGATTCGGAACGAGTCATAGCGGCGGAGGCGCGAGGTTACCTAGGGTTTTCGAGAACAAGACGAAGACGCAAAAGAGAGAGAGAGAGTAAACTACGCCCTTGTTTTTGTTGTTGCGATGCGTGGGTGTGAAATTGGCGAAAGGGCCGAAGGGTGGAATAAGAAGGAATTAAGAAGGGGCAAAACCGAATTTCGACTAACCCAAGAAATTGAAGTTTTGGGTTTTCGGCGGGATTTCGAAAATGTTTTGCCGCGTCAGCTATCCGTGCGCTACGCCTTCATTTGCTGCTGGGCTCTCCCTTATGTGCTTCCTTGTGTGCTTCTTCGCTAGCGAGGAGGGCACGTGGGGATGCACGTGATAGGGGTAGGGGTGAAATGACGGATTTGGGGTTTGATTTTGTGGGTGGGGGTCTGGTGGTTGAGAGCGATCGAATCGATAGAATAAAAGGTGTAGTACGCAACAGCTGTATTGGCGTGGGATATTATTGAAGCGGGGGTAAATAAGTAAATGTGGTGGCTTGATTTTTCGGGATTTTCGGATTATTTTTTTAGTTAGGGTTTTGACGGAGCGGAAAAGTTGGAGATATTTTTAAGTGGGCTGTTGGGTTGTAGAGAAGCAAAAACTTGGTTAAACTGAAGTTACTGAACCCCGTTGCACTTGGTACGGATAGAAAAGGTCACAAGTAGGGAGAATTCTTCCCTGTTCGGACCGAACCACGTATCCCTACGGTTCAGGATTCGGTTCACCCGACCCCAATTTGTGTACCACTACCCCTCACACAGTATCCAGTAATCTTACACAAGAACCTCACGACAAGTGGAGCATGTTCTAAAATAATCTAGTATATACCCACACAAAAATTCTGTGAATTTTTTTACTTTTGCTGTTCAAATTGAAGGAGAGGGGAAGAGAGTGAGAGAGGACATGGAAGCAAGGAGAGAGGGAGAGAGGGAGAGAGGTTGTTTCTTCATTTTTTTTTTTTTTTAGCTAGAAACGACATGTTGGTGAGATTTAAAAAAATAGCAAATTTTTGCCTTGTGAAATTACGTTATTATCCTTAAATTTTTTGTTGTGATGGAAGATAAATATGTTTTTTTTATCTTCTTTTGATTGACAAAGAGAATTTCATTAATGTAGTTTTAGATAATGTACAATGGGAAGTGATTTCCCCATTCTCTTTTTTTTTTTCTTTTTTTTTTTTTTTTTAACCTTTGTCGCTCCTCTTTGTCTTTATAGATAAGCATTAATCTTCAACCCACTATATTCCTAATAACGTCACCCCCTGGATTTAGTATAGATTAGCATAGTGATAACTTGACACAAAACACAAAACTAAGAAATAATTTTTTATATGTATTTCTCCAATAAATAATGCTAGGAAGATTAAATTTATAAATAAAATTTTGTTAATTAACTGACATAAAAGTTAATGATTGGATTATTACATAAGCATTCATAAACGTGTATAATGTTATTGATGACACATCATTTAATGTACAAATTTTATCTAATTTAATCTCTCTGACAATACCTTTCTCAAATAAGAACTTAGGCCCTTTTATAATCAGTCTAGAACACGCCCTTAATACTTACTTATCGTATCACTTAATAGTGCGAACACCTTACAAAACACGAATTATGCTTTTAGCTCTTCCAAAAGCAATTCGAACAGGCCCTTGTATTTCATCGCTTTGCACGCGCTGCCCTAAAAATCTTTCGATATGGAGGGAGGGGTAGTAGAAACCCGCAATGGAGACAATATTCTTGTCGTTGTAGGTTAAACGTGATTTGGAGGCTTTCAATTAACTGATTGAATAATAAAGAGGGTTAACCACACTCCTTTTTTTTACTTCTCACACATCATTTGTTAATTTTTATCCATTGGTTTTATTTGATTCATTTGATTCGACAGTCACAGATTAAGAACAAGAAATAAAAAAAGATATATAAATAACACTCTCCTATTTTTTATTGAAAACTTCTGATAACATCACAAATACTGAAGCAAGGCCGCCAAATCAAAAGTACCGGCAGTATTCAACACCAGGTCCCAAAAATGAAACAAAATCTAGTTCAATCTTGAAAAACGAAGATTATACTACTCCACACCCCCCCCCCCCCAAAAACATGCACTTGAGAAATTTGGCCGTTAGATCTCGACTCCTTAACCTAGAATTTAGGAATCGAAAGTCTCATATATAGTGCTCATGCAAACATTGCTTTTAAACGACTGAAAACCCTTTTAAATAAAAATTTCGAAATCAAAACTTGATAAAAATACAAATTAATTCTAAAAAAACACTTAAAATGCTTCTAACATGAATCACATAACAAATGCTTTTAGCATAAAGCATTTCAAATACTTTTGAAATTCAAAATTTTTTAAAAAAAAACACTTTCGGTAATTTAAAAGCACTTTTCAAACAATCCCTAAAATACTCGAGCATACTGGAAGAGTTGACATTCATGCCATGCTAAAAAAACACTGACAGGTTGTCATCCAATTGGTGTTGTTAACCAACGAAGAATCCCCAAAGCAATCCAAAGGAACCAATGGCAGAAAGTCAAAAGAGAGAGACGCAGATTGAAGCCAAACAACCACCATCACATAAAACAAGATGGTGAATAGAGAACAATGATGCAAAATCTCAAACCGAACTGCAGATAAAACACATCCTCACTTGAAGATGGCTAGTTGCCGGTATTCCAAGCGAATCACAAAATCTTGTAAAAAAGGTTATCATACGTCGCAACGCGCATTGCAATTCATTTGGAATACCGACACCATGACACGAATGTTATACGAAGTCAAATGCCACAACCATAAGAAAATGCACAAAGCAAATCAATCCCAAGCATATAATAAAAGGGATACTAATTAGAGCAAAACAGAAGTCATTTGAGCATAAAAACGATCATTAAGTACAGAAACGATATGGGGAATCAGGTGGATGAGTCCCGAAACATAACCCCTTGTGTTTTTCCTTTTCCTTCCCTAATCCTAAAAATGTAGCTATCTTATCATCAGACACAGAGCTTTAATCAGAAAATGCAGGTCATTCGATATGTTCTAACCAATAACCCTAACCACAAATTGCTCCTCTCCTTCATTCAATTTCCGGCTTTCCTTCTCTACTCGTCATCATCTTCTTCCTACAATTAAACAAAACCAACACAGTTCAATCACACTAATCACAGAACTACGCAGAGAAAACAAGATCAACACAATAACAAGAGCCAATTCGAAAAAACCTCTCCGCTCTCGTCATCATCTTCATCTTCGTTTTGCACCTCGGACTTGGACTTATCAGACTCTTCGTCCTCCGCTCCATTGCCTCCCTCGGCCTAATTTCGCAATGATGCAACAATTCTCACAACACAACACAAATAAATTCAACCGAAAAAACGTAAATAAAAAAGAGAGCACTCACTATGCGCTTGTTGTACGCATTCATGGTCTTGGTGTACTCGGTCTTCCTTTTCTCTGCTTTGGCAATGTAGGGAGCTTTCTCCTGAATAATTTAATTAAATTAACCAACAAATTAATAAAAAGGTTACAGAATATTCATGTAATTAACAAATCGATTAACAAAATTGATTGGCCTAAATACTCACAGCCTCTGAAAGCGATTTCCATTTATCACCACCAGCTTTACCGACCTATTCAAATTATTCGAAAATAAGAATAAATACAATTTAATTTTGCTAAATTAAACAAAATATATTCAATAAAATAAAATTAAAAGCGCAGATCTGAGAATATGAGATTCACTTACAGCGGCGACGGATTTGTTATTAGGATGATCCTTCTTGTATTTCACTCTAAAATCCTCCCTGTATAAAATTGAACCAAAAATTCATACAAAAATATAATTACAAAACAGACGATAATAAAATCGTTCGATCTGCACAAAAAGGAGAGAGAGAAAAAGAGAGAGAGAGAGAGAGAGAGAGAGCGTTGACCGTACATGAAAACGAAGAAGGCGCTTGCAGGCCTCTTAGGCTTGTTCGGATCCTTCGCAGCTTTCTTGCTCGCGCCAGCGCTTTTGGTCTTCAATCTATCAAAATTCAAAAAATTAAACGTAAATTCAAAATCACCGTTTCATATATAGATCTCGAATTGAAACGATAAAATCGAAAAAAATTCACAGCAAAACGGAAAACAAAACCGGAAGCTCACTTCGCATCGGCTTTTTTGGGAGCAGCAGCTCTTGATTTCCCCATATTCAGCTAAACCTGCACAGATAACAGCGATTAAGCGATGAGAATCGTTCAGGAACGGCACAAAATCGATAAAAACCATTCGGAAACGGCGGAAAACGACGAGAACGCCTCCAAAACGAGCGAGAATCGCTCGGACACGGCGAAAAACGACGAGAATCGTTCGGAAACGGCGGAAAACGAAGCGACTCGGCCCGAGTAGGCGGGCGAGTTTACCTTTGGTGAAGGGAGAGGATAAGGCGACGACGCAGAGACAGATGGAGAATAATGAGAGATATGCCTTTGGGTCGTTTGCTTTGTTTTGGTGCGGTGTGCGTGTGTAAAATTTGCCCTTGGTTGTGTGGAGGGACAAGAAGGGAAGGCCGTGGCGCAAAAATAAAAAATAAAAATGGCGGACAATTAAATTTTGATTTATTGAAAGGATTGAAGTCCGGGTTTGGGCGGGATTTCAAAATATTGGTGCCACGTTGGGGATCCGCGTGATGGGGGTCGATTGGTTGGGAAGTTCGCTTGGGATCCCGTTTGTGCTTCCTTGTGTTTCTTTGTTCTATTTCCGCTGCCGGGACACTGGAAATCGGTGGAAATAGGAGGACACGTGGACGATGTGTGCGTGGGATATGGAAGGCACGTGCGTAGTTCTTGGTGAAATTACAAGTTTGGGGTTAGGGCGCTTCTAGATGTTTGTGGGAGGGTGATCGATTCACTAAATTAAATTTGGAGCTAGCTACTCCTGTATTTATTTATGGGATATTATTGCTTTGGGGGTAAATATGTCAATTGGTTGCTCGATATTTTTTTTATAGAAACGAGACATTTTCAGGACTAGTTTGGTATTGATGTGTTTTTTAAAAAAAATTGATTATTGTGACGTAAGAACAAAGAGCTGTAAAATAAATGTTTGGTAAACTATTATTTGTACAAGTGCTTTTAACAAAAAAATAGTGTATGAATGTTTAGTAAACTTTTATATAAATTGTTGTGAATATATTAAATGATTAAAAAAATATAAAATTTAATGTAATATGAAAATTGTCAAAGAAAAATATGGGGTCAATGATTGTAATTTTGTAAATAAGTGCGGATATACTTATCATTTGAAAATTTCATTAAAAAGACCTTGATTACTATGCTTTGAATAAAAAAAATAGCAAATGTTTTTAAAAGTATTTTTTGTTTTGTTTTACCAAACACATTTGATGTCCCAAATTTTATTTTAAGCTTTTTTTTTTTTAAGCACCACATTATCAAGTCAGCCTTGAATGCTTAAGAATTACGGCACTGAACAACAATTGTAATAACACAATTTTGAAGGAATTTAAAATTTAAATTTGAATAAATCCTATTATGATACTTGGTGTATCGAGTCATTTTCTCGACAAACTAAACTATTTCTCGGTAAAATCATTACATCGTTACATTTTCATTCCTTTATTTTATTTTATTTTATTTTTATGTCGTGTATTTTCTATTAAATCAAACTTGATATGGAAGCGTATTCAATTTTAGTAATTTTGATAGATTTATGACTTTATGTAATTTGATGAAGTTTGTATTCGTTTCTGGATATTTTATGTTAAGTGTGATTAAAATCCCTCTATACTTGAGTTGTGAGATTGTGGAAGCTTAAAATCTAATAATAAAATATTTCTAATTCCTTTGAAACCCATTTTTTCAATAATCATATATTTAGACTAATGGATGAGAAAATAAAATAGTTAAGAATTCATCATTCTCGATATACGAACTTAAAATCTCCTACTTATAAATAAAAGAGAAAATCAGTAAACTATCGTACTAAATTGTTTTAAAATAATTGAAATCAATTTACGACAAAATATATCTTGAATTGTAGAGAATTTTTTTGAATGGCTTTTTGTTAAAAAAGTTTAGGAGAAGGGAATTCTACATCGTCTTAGGGGTGTGGATATGGGCATATTACAAATCTCTTTGAGAATATACGGTAACTAAAAACTCGTCATTTATGAGATTTGGGCTAACTTGGGCTTGTTCAATTAGACCATTGTCAAACAACTTAGGCCCAATTAAATCGGGGTTGCCCAGTGGAGTTTTAGACTTCGGTCTATAGGAACTGACCCTGTTGCAGAGAAGCATAGAAAATCCGAAACGAAGGAGGTGGTGTCACGTTCGGATCGAGCAAGGAAGCAAGCAGACATGGGAGAGGTAATAGAAACCCTACCGGCGCACCGTAGTTCCTTCGCAGCTCCAATTGTATTCATCGTCGTCGTCGCTTTCCAATTCCTCTCTAGGTGGCTGGAACAGTTAAAGAAAGTAATTTCCTCGACCATTTTTCACTTGCATTCAAACAATTTAATCCTAATTTCTGTACGAAATTAAGCTCTTAATCTTTTATTTATGCTTTAATTGCATTTATTCTGAAATTACAATTTGAATTTGGGTGATTTGTTTTGTTGGCAGGGAGGAGTTAAGAATGCCACGGCAAGCCGATTGCGTGGAGAAATTAAAGACCTCTTGAAGGAGGCAAGCTCCTTGTCCCAGTGAGTGATTTTTTATTATTTAATCATATATGTTCTCCAATTTATCAAATGGATTTTTTTTTTTTTTTTTTTTTTTGGATTTTCAGCGATGTTTTGAAGCTTGCAGCTTCAAATTTCTTAGCTTTATAGTATCAGCCTTTAGTTTGGGTTATTTGCAGTTGCATGATCTTTGTTTTTGTCTGAATCCAGGCCGTCGACTTTTGCGCAAGCTGCGAAACTTCGGAGGATGGCAGCTGCTAAGGAGAAAGAACTTGCAAATTGTTAGTTTGCAACTCCAGCCCTTGGATTATTGGTTTATGTTGATCATATGTATAATTATACACAGGCATTCCTAAAACACGTATGCTACGTATATATGATTGCAGAGAGTAATTATATATGACATCCTTGTTCTCAAAGTTGTGTTTGTATATAGCGTCCACGCATTTTATGAGTATGATGTTGTTAAGCAAAGTATTGAATGGCTAATACAGTTTAGGTTGTTGTTCAATATCGTTAGAATCTAGGTGTCCCGATACAAAAATTTCATACAGAGAGATGAGTTTAGTATAAGTTTAGTCTTGTTTCACTGCCGATAAGGTGAATCTGTGACTTTGAAATTTAATTTCCCATCTTTCTTCAGTCCTCTGTCACGTCGCTCTCTTCTGTTGTACCACATATGCCTTAATGTTTCTACACCCTCTTTTTCCCCACTTTACCTTTCAAATTTTCCGTAGGTACTTGCAATTCTCTTTCCTTAATGTATGTACTACAATCACTTTGTCTCAAACATTTTAATTTATTTCGATCATTACAATTTTGTATAGTTATTATGAGTTGATTCTAACATATTACGTGCCTTCCAGATCAAGAATTACACGGCAAGGAGATAAAACTTTCATATGATTTGTATCTGAGAATTTTGTTCATCTTAAAGGTAGTTCTCAGTATTTTGGACTTTTGAAATAGTTATTAGCTTTCTTCGATAACAGGGAATTGCCTGAGCTAGGGTTCTTAATAGATACACTTGGTTGTCCATTTAGGTCTTGACATATATTGTGCTGGTTTGCTGGTTTTGGAGGGTTCCTGTTGCCTCCATATCGCAACAACTTGTGCAACCCTTTGGTAGCGTTTTCTCGATCCAAATTTACTTTTCAAGCCCTCTCTTTCCTATTGAGATGGTACATCTATAACAATTGATAGAAGTTACTGATTACTATCTCTTGTCCCTGCAGGGAAGCTGATATCATGGAGGGCCGGAGGACTTGTAAACGAAAATGTTATGGTAAATAAAGTTGGAATTACTTTTGATCGTTACTTGTCATATATTATGGTAAATAAAGTTGGAATTACTTTTGATCGTTATGTGTCATATATTAAAGGTGCCTTAAATAAATGATCTAAAAAATGCCAGTCTCTTATCACTTCTGTAAGAGTATCTATATTTGCTGGCACTCTAATGTCTCGTCAATACTATGTACTGTCACTTTCGTGTTTAGACTGCCAATGTTTGCATATTACGTATCTCGGGTCAGAAAGAAAAGAGATGTGCATTGCTTAGTATGCGATATAGCGAATTCTTAAGCACGGTTTTGAGTATTGCTTCTGATTCTTCTTGATTTGTTTTTGCAGGTAGGAATTATTCCTTGGTTGATATTATCTACCAGGGTTAGCAAGTTCGTATGTCGACTTGCCAAGTTCTAGAGTTTAAATTATTTGTGTCCTGTCAAGTTTTTATTGTACCAACGGAAACATGATTTTGTTCTGACATTTACTCCACAATGTCTAGTCATGAACTTAAGATTGTTACCTACTCATTTAATTTGAACCGGTAGTGTGCATTACTCTTTCTGTTGTCTGTGAAATCGAGTTTATCGTTGTAGTATGCAGAAAGCTTACCTCTTGTGAAAATACGATTCTTTGAATTTATGCAGCATAAGGAAATTCCAGTAAATACGAACGGGTTCAGATCGTGGAAAAATGTTTCAATGATCAGTTCTGGGCTCTGAGGTCATGATAATGTTTATGAATTTTGTGTTTAAATGATTCTTGTTCTTGGAGCTGTGAATTACAAGGGACGGAACAAGGAATTGTCAGAACGGTGATGGCTAAAAGTTGTGCATATGCAGCAGATCATACATCACAATACATATGTATTTATATATTATATATATGTAACAAATTTTGGTACGTTGCCAACTCATAAACTTATCTGCAATGGAGCTAGAAGACAAACAATTAACCGACTCCATTTACAAATTTAATCTGGACAGTACATTTGTCACTTGATTACCACAGCTTTAAAACTAGAAAGCCGTTAAATTTATTAAAAATAATAAAAATAAAAACCAAACAAAAGTAAACTTCTTGCTGCATCTGCACTAGAAACGATTTAGGCTCAAACAGCTACTTGGTCGGCTGGGGCCTGTTATGTAGCTTCAAGCTTATCGATCTAAGCAGCGCAAAAAGTGAGTAACTTATCAGCAATGCAATGCCTAAATACAAATGGTGCAGGAAATGCGAGGCCTTAAGTATTTTGCTTTCTAAAGAAAGAATGGAATGTGCAAAGAAATAGAAGAAAAAGCAGCCAAGCACAAGAGCTGCAAGGGCTAATCCTGGAGAATGACCGCCAAGTACTGCGTATGTGCCAGCAACGAATGCAATCACCATTGCAATCAAAGCCAACATTGTCAAAGTTCTACCGTGTAAAACGTAACAGGGGTTTGGATCATGTACTTTCGTTTTGTGTAAATGGAGGAATACAAGAGCACCAGGACAGAACAACTAGACATGGCCATGGCTAGTGTATTTGTTATAACAAATGCTTTGAACGCTGTGTTTCTTGATAGAATCGGGGAACCCTGGTCCGATCCGCTTTCGCTATGGTAACCACCAGGCATGGTAAAACCCGCGGCGAAGGTTACTGTTGCTATAAGTGTAGCCACCACCAGTTGGGTTTCTTTTGCTTTCATTAAGCTTTCTTCAGTGTCTCTGCTACCTTGGTTTTCCTCCTCCACTTCATTGCCATCATCGTTGTGGCTTTTGACTCTGTGACCTGGTCTACCATACCTGCCTTGCAATTTTTTTTTTATATTTTCCTGCATGACATAGAAGATTAATGTTATCTTTAAGGACAAATCTAAGGATGAAGATTAGTAACATCCTTATTATTGGTCATGTAATTGTACGAATAAGTGATCCTTATTTAGACAGCTTTGGATTTTCTTTATGAACGGAGCCGGAAAGGTATTTTTAGTGGGCAACATAATAAAAGGTTTGTTTTTTGTAGTTCAGTCTATCGAATAGTCGACTTTTTAAACAATTTCTTAATGTCAATCTTCATCGTTTAATTTAGGAATACTCAGTAATTCTAGACGGTTGAAGAAAAATTGGATAAGAACATAAAAGAAAATTAGAGATGATAGATACCAGCTGAAGGGTTAATTTAGGAGTACTCAGTAATCTTAGACGGTTGAAGAAAAATTGGATAATAACATAAAAAAAAAATTAGAGATGATACATACCAGCTGAAGTGCCTTGCTCATGTTGTCCTTATTAGCTAGAATGATGTCGAAAGCGTTTAAATTTTCCTTGTTGAACGACATTATATCAACTTTATCATCAAGTACAAGTTTAGTCATCGCAAACATGGGATAAAGAGCAACGTAATGGATAGGTGCATTGCCATTTCCATCCTTGGCATTTAAGAGGATGTTGCTAAGCCACAGATCTTTCGACACAAAATCAACTACGTGATATTGACCGCTCTCAATGGCATAGTGAAGCACATTCTGACTGACATTTGTTGTCGACCAGTTCACAACAATCAGGGCAATGAGTAAGAAGCTTTTTCATTATAGCTAGATGGCCTTCGGACGCAGCAAGGTGAAGAGCTGTGCGCCCATTATTGTCAGCAACGTAGGCCGTAGATTTATCACATTCCAATAGTTGCCTAACCATTGAAAAGTAACCAAAATGTGCAGCCATGTGAAGCGGAATACATCCTAGTTCGTCTGCTGCTTTTGCCAGAGTTCTATCCGATTTTAGTAATGCCCTCGTCATTACTTAAGTAAAAAAAGAAAAAGAAAACATAAATATAAACTTCAAGAAACATATTTATTAATGAATCATGAAATGAAAGATAAAAGGAATTTTCTAAGGGAGACTTTGGATGCGCTCCCTATATTTCAATGTTTTTCTACTGAAACTTTGTTGGTTTTCAGTTTTAAATTGAAGTCCTGATATTAATGTAATAATGTATTTTTATGTATGTTACTATATTTTTTTTAAATTAACATTTGAAATTAGTAGTTGTTTATATTAATGAGATTTTAAATAAAACTCAAAATTTATGGGATTAATAATATTAAAATAGAAGTTGTACTCTTGATATATTGTATATATAAACATGGTTACATTCTTAAAAACACAAAAAAAAAAAAAAAAAAGGTATTAGGCTTAATAACATTAATAAATTTCTTCAATTGAACTTGACAGGGATACATACATCTCAAATCAACGAAAAAAAATGTACCCATATAAGTTTTAAAATGGATTAGAAAGTAATTGAATGGATTTTATATAAAGAAAAATAGGTACATTTTATATTAAAAATAGTATATTTTACATATAAAAATTGGTATATTTAAGAATGAGTCAATTTAAGATTTAGAAAATTGAAAAATTATATGAATGAGTACATTTATGACTAAAAAATAAAATTTGTTGCAGTTCTATTAGATTAGGAATTTGATCGTGTTAATCCTTTCATACCTATGATATCCATGAGATTCTGTCGTATCTCTTAGACTATATATTATCATATTAGAGTTGTAATTCTATTTGGGTAAAGAATTTATCTTCCCTATTATTATAAATAAAGGCATAATGAGGTGAAATAACACACACCTCATAATTACACATCTCTGTTTTTCTCTTTGTGCCACTGCCCCCCTCTCTTCCCTTTATATTATTCAGTAAATTAGACCTACAACAAAAATCTTTTTATAAAAAACTAATAGGTACAAACTTATTCTAATTTTTTTTATCTTGTAATTGTTTTAAATTAAAACTTAATTATGAGTTTAATAAAGGTGTGAGTATTAAAACACTAAATCAATTACTGATTTTTATTTTAAAAAATTATGTAACTAGACATGTAAATATATTATTACATTAATAATAGGAACTTCGATTGAAATCTGAAAACTAACAAGATATTAGTTAATGAATATTAATAACTAGAAACCGGATACTAACCTTTTTTTTTATTTAAAAAAAAAACTATTTTCTATATACCTTTACCTTCATCATTGCGGATAACCGCAGCGTGCAAAGCCGTTCTACCATTTGGGCCTTTATAAGTTGGATTTTTGCAACCTTCAAGTATTGCAACACAACAAGCACTGCATCCCCTGTCGACAGCTAGGTAAAGAGGAGTCTCGCCGGCATCGTTAGCAGAGTAAGAAAACTCAGGGTCTGCTTTGATTAATATCTCCACCACCCTAAAGTAATTAAAGCGGACAGCTTCGTGCAGTGCTGTGTCCTTCTTCTTGTTGGTTTTTTTGATGAGCTTTTGCTCCTACAAGAGGGCATCTTCTGATGAGATCGCACAACCTTGCTCAAGGTCGCCTTGATAATAAGTTTGTGTAGCTAGGAGGAGAGCTTTAACTATATTAGCACGCCCATATCTTGCCGCAATGTGCAGGGCAGTATCACCACTCTCGTTCTGCTGCCATAGTAGTGCTGGACACGTTTTAAGGATACCGTCCACATTGTTCGTTGACTTGAGTATCTCATCCTCAGATTCTATGTACGTTGGGTGCCTATAGCATGCTGTATAGATATCAAGGACTGTGTTCTTGGTTGCAGTCAATATTTTGTCCAGATTCTTGCCTTGTTCCTTAAGGACATCGAGATTGCCTTGTTTTGCAGCGTTGAAAACGTCAGGATCCATGCTACTTATCAAAACTGTACTATTGTTGCCTTCTAATTTTGCAGCTTCTTGGACGTTGGTCTGATCTGCTAGCTCGATCTGGTCACCGACATCGGTTGATGCTAACGGAGTAATAGGACTCTCTGGCTGATTAGCCATATTGGAGGCATCCATGCTGGGTTGGGGGGTGGTGGTGTGGGTGGTGTTGTGGTGTGAAGAGTGATGCTGGAGGGAAGGTAAAATTACAAGACGGCCAGTTCTGTTGACTAGTTCAAGCTGCAACCTGTTGGAGGTTGTGTTGAGAAAATTAGAGTACACAACTCTAATATAAATGTTGGAGAGACAAAATCAATAAACAAATTATTTGTATTACACTCATAAATACTACAACATACAATTCTTAAATACACAATTTTAGAAATTATGACACTTTTATTTTTCAGAGGCAAACTCTAATCACTCACACTCCTCACAAAAACTACTCGCTAACAACTCCAGTCTTACTTAAGGGGTACCCACTTCTTGGTTCTTTGCTTGCTTCTATTTTTGGTTCTTTGCTTTACTTTGCTTTTTTTCTTCTTCTTTTTTTTTTTGTTTTTTTGTTTTTTGTTCTTTGCTTGCTTCTTTTTTTGGTTGTTTCTTTTTTGTTTGGGGTGCATTTTTGCTCACCTATATTAACTTTAGGGTATGCTCACCATACACCTTATTAGGTGCCATGTGTCCATCCTTCTAACCTTAGTTACTTGCTAATTAAATATATCATTTTTAATTTTTAAAACTAATTTTAAACATTAAAATTAAAAATTAAAAATAAAAACTCAAACCCTTCAGGTTCCCCACCCAGCCAAACACCAGAAACAACTACCCACCCACGCCACCCCTTCAATTGATTCTTCAAAGTCTAACCCCACCCAGCCAATCTTCTTCGTGCCATGGTGAATCACCATGTCTCCGTTCTCCTTCTTACACACTCTAATTTTATTTTAGTTTATAAAGAAACCCAACAAATGTCCTCGCCAAGAAAATAATCCCAAATTGGAAAATCAAATCTGTACGTGCACAGAAATATCCTCGCAAGAAACAGAAAGGGTTGATTCTTGAGGTGAGTTTGCTATCGAATTTCATGGCTGCAAAGGCGTAGCCTTCGTGGTGGAACTTTGAAGAATCAATTGAATGGTTGGCGTGGGTGGGGAACGAAACACTGCTGGGCCTGGGCAGGGTTTGAGTTATCTATATATATAAAGTGAGAGCCCCAGTTTGGTGAAGCATTCGATAATCCCTAAAATACCCTTACTTAATGACTCTGCGAAAATCAAGGATTTAGTACCTATATATATAAAGTGAGAGCCCCAGTTTGGTGAAGCATTCGATAATCCCTAAAATACCCTTACTTAATGACTCTGCGAAAATCAAGGATTTAGTACCAAAAGAAGGATAAAGAGGTAATAACATTAACTATTTGAAACCTAATGGAAAGTGAAAAGGAAGAGATAGTTGCCAGTTCAGTTATTAGTCCTACTCCAACTTCCCACGATCGAAACCAAAGAACAGTTTGACGATTTCCACGACGAAACCAAAGAGCAGTTCACCGATTCCCATGATCTGAGTTTAGTTGAAGGTTCAACAACAACTGCCCACATACCACCGCTATATACAGATGAATATTCGAAAAGAGCCCAATTTTCGAAACCAGACTTCGGGACGTCGTCTTGGAGCCCATCCTCTTCACACCTTCGATCCCGGACGCCCACTTTCAAGAGCCCAATCTCCTGGCTGTTGCTCATCTTCCCTTCTCTCTTCCGATCGCCATATTTAAGTAAGTTTTCCATTTTGTACAAATCTCTAACCCCAACTTTCCTTTCCATTTAGCTTTCGATTTCAACCTTTGATTCAAGATTTTTTCCAATTGCAGTTTTTTTATTTGGTCCCATCATCTGCACACTTTTTTTTTTTTTTTTTTTTTTCCATCTTTCCTTATGTGTCCTTAGTAGCTTCCATCACTCTTGCTCTCTCAAAGATTGCATTGAGGCAGAACACGTACTCACTCAAAGACAATCTGGTAAGCATTTTCTTTTTATGTGATACAGTCTTAGATTTTTTGTATTTTCCTTGGTTCTCGGGGGGTTTGTTCAAGTTCTCGAGGGATTTCAAGTTTTTGGGTTGATGATTGAATTTGGAGCTTAATGTGTTTTTTTGTGGTATTTTTTTTAGAGGTAATTTCTTGGTGGGTTTTGTGTTTACTGTAGTCAATTTTGGGTTTTGTAGATTGAGACAGCAAGACTGAAACTCGAAGACGAACAAGCAGAGGAGGAGGTCGGTGAAGAAAAGAGAAGCAAAAGTAAAAGGAAAAAAACGTGAGTTATTTTTTATTATTCTCCCTTTTGAAGAGCAATTTTTGGATTTTCTTTAATTTGTGTCAATCTCCATCTCTGTTCTTCCACTTCCTTTCCACCTCTGTTTGGTACTTTTTAATTTAAAAATGTATCTGTAAATTTTTTTCTGAATTGTATTTGCTTTCTGTAGTGTTTCGAATCTTCTGATTGCATCAGAAATGAATTAATATCCGCAAATTTGATTTTTCATTTGCTGGCTTTTTCTGGTAATGGGTTTTATTCATGAACATTCTCATTGCTGCAAATTTGATTAATTGTTTTTTGAACCTTTGGATGTTACCAAGATTTGATTTTTGCTAAAGGATCTGTCTAATTACATTGGTTTGTGTTTTTTTTTGGGTTGATCTTTCTTTTAATTTAATCATCTTGAAATAAAATTGGAATAACTGCATGTTTTCATTTCACAGTTTACTTTTTAAGTTTTTGGATAGATTGACTTGACCTTCACATTTCTGTGAATTTTTGCGTTGGTTGGTATCCTTTCTTCCTTATCATACTAGACAAAGGGTGATGAACAAAAAGATGGTTGCATTCCGAACAAATGGGGGGAAGTTGTGTCTAAAATTACCTCTCAATGTTATATGTTTCCTTATTATTGAAGTCATGGTATTATATAGCTGCAGTTGGTTAGGTGCTTACGATCTTTTGCAGGAAACATGATAATAACTTAACTGATTTACTTCAAATGTATAAATTGTCTGTACCAATACTTGATGTGTGATAAAGTAAATATTGTTATGGAGGCTTTATATTTTGACTTTTAAGTTCTTTTGTGTTTTGGTACCAATACTTGATGTTTCAGTTGGCACCTCAGTCCTCCCCCTGAATTATTTCAGTTGACACCTCAGTCCTCCCCCTTTTTTTTATCCTACAACTTACTGTGTCGTCATGCTTTCTTTTTTCAGGCTCTTTCAATTTTTATAAAACTGATTCAAGTTATTAAAACAAATACAATTCATGTTTTGTTATGGTTTTACATACTCATTGGTTGCAGACCTATTCGTCGGAGATCGAAGAAAAGGAAAGGTGGGAAAGTCCATTCTTGCCGTAGAGCTCATGTTGGCAGTGAACCTTGAAGAAAACGAAAGGTGAGAATAGCAGAACAGTTGGCTTTTTTCTTTTAGCACCAACTTATTTCCAAAAATTCCCCTAACCTTAATTAGCATTGGCACTTTCAACACTTTCGGAATGTGTTTGCATTTTTTAAATGGCCTCCTATGTTATAGTTATCAGGAAACATGATAATAACTTAACTGATTTACTTCAAATGTATAAATTGTCTGTACCAATACTTGATGTGTGATAAAGTAAATATTGTTATGGAGGCTTTATATTTTGACTTTTAAGTTCTTTTGTGTTTTGGTACCAATACTTGATGTTTCAGTTGGCACCTCAGTCCTCCCCCTGAATTATTTCAGTTAACACCTCAGTCCTCCCCCTTTTTTTTATCCTACAACTTACTGTGTCGTCATGTTTTCTTTTTTCAGGCTCTTTCAATTTTTATAAAACTGATTCAAGTTATTAAAACAAATACAATTCATGTTTTGTTATGGTTTTACATACTCATTGGTTGCAGACCTATTCGTCGGAGATCGAAGAAAAGGAAAGGTGGGAAAGTCCATTCTTGCCGTAGAGCTCATGTTGGCAGTGAACCTTGAAGAAAACGAAAGGTGAGAATAGCAGAACAGTTGGCTTTTTTCTTTTAGCACCGACTTATTTCCAAAAATTCCCCTAACCTTAATTAGCATTGGCACTTTCAACACTTTCAGAATGTGTTTGCATTTTTTTAATGGCCTCCTATGTTATACATGCAAATAATTATAGTTATCAGAACATCTATCTGATGTTTTACCTCATCCAACAACTTAATTACACTCCCACTGTTTTGGTTAGAAGTTAATTAGAAGAGTCTTCATTCCATCGACATCCTTTCCTTCACAATTTATGCTGAAAATTCATCGCACAATGTAATATGAAACGTTTAGTTGGCATGTTAACTTTCAGAAGCATGAGATGATCAACAATGAATGTGCATGATACCTTTTTTTTATCCTACTGGGTTGTCTTCATCTTCGGTCTCAAAAGCCTTCCTTAACTTTTCTTCATCTAATCTCAAAAGCCCTCCTTGCATGTTTCAGCTTTTTAGTACAGCTTTTATGTTTTGGATTTTTTTTTTTTGGCGGTTTACCACATATTTGGCTGAGTGGAAAAAAAAGTTAGTAATCATTTATGACCTCAGATTCCTTGAATGCTCAATATTTTAGTTGGTGGTGTGCTCTGTGATTTGTGTGATTCAGAGATAGTTGGAATTGATTCCTTGAATATTTTTCACTCTCTTTTTTCCAATTTTGTAATAAAGTGGTGTGCTGTGTGCCTTCTTAGTTCGATAATTAAGCTAAGTACCATTTGGAATCATGATAAATAATTGATAGAAGCATAAACTAGATCTCATTTGGAATATATTATGAAGATTTATGCATCAATTTTGTTTGCAGACCTATTCGTCAGGCCTCAAAGAAAAGGGAAGGTGGGGAAAGTGTATTCCTGGTAATGAAAAGATAAGGGAGAGCCAGTGACAGATATTGGTGAGGATCCGATCTTTCAATTGTGTATGAATTGTTGCCTTCACTTGGTTTCTTTGAGGACTCAAAATTGTAATATGTACCTGTGTTGTTTTATACATGCGTTAAGTTCCAAATCCAAGTTCAGATGCATCTCTAGGTTCATTTCTTTCATTTTTAGAATCCTCAACTCCAAAGGTTACTGATAGGGAGCAAATAAACACTGATACACGAGTATAACTAGAAGAGGCATGAATGTAACGAAACTCCCAATGTCATATGTACCAGCCTTCTAGAAAACTCCCAATCAAGCTATCTTAGTATCACACACTCCATTATAAATGCTTACAATCACAGAGTTTCGTCACATACCCTATTGATATGTTTACACCTTTACGTTTGTAAATGAATATAAATTTCCATTTTCTATTCGCATTTGAAACTGATGCTCAAAACGCTACCCAGTATCAAACTCTATCCCATATTTCATCTATTCCCACTCCCTTATAATCATAAAAAAAAAAAAATTAAACGAATTATGCTCCAACCAAATGCTTGACTTTTAAATATTTGACAATTATATAATGTCCATATATAAATTAGAGGCATTCACATTTCCAAGTTTTTAAGTAAATCACTTCCATTAATAGGAGAGGGAAACAGCTGCAACTTGGACATTTGTTTAACGTCAAATAGGTGAAGCATCCTATACATGTTTAAGTAATACCCCTTGACGTTAAACAATTAGAGGCATTCACATTTCCAAATTATTCATTGCAGTTTGAATTTGTCATAATTAAAATCAAGTTCATTATTACCTGGTGCGTGTCCTATAACTTTGACTGAAAACTTATGAATCTGAAAATTTTGATTTAAGGACATTAAATTTTTTCAACATGTATTCAGAAATGAAATTACATGTCATATTTTCAGATTTTTTTAATCATTTATGTTTTCCCATTTTATCTTCGTTGTTGTTTTAAAGGAAAAATAGTAAAAATTGTATGAGAGATTACTCACATTTGTGCAAATTGGATGGAATATATGCTGCTAAATTCTTCAACGAACATGGCAATATGACAATAAGGCATGCATAACGATAACACCATTATCATAGTAAACGAAAATGATGTGTAGATAAATGTTTTTTCTTCTTCTGTTCATAGGCATCTACGTAGACTTTTTCGTATTTATGGAATGTAACAGAATTTGTATTCAATTTAGGTTCATTTATTTTTTAATTTTTTAGATAAATTTTTCCATGGAGCGTGGCCAAAGTCGTGCAAGACAATGGTGTCAATCATTGAGTCCTGAAGAACATCAAAGATATCTAGCTCGACGACGTCTAATAGCACAAGAAAAAAGACAACAAATTCCAACTCTATATGATGATCATACTATGACATCCCCCAGTAACATACAACAAGAAATTCCTGGTATTTATTTCATATTCCTTTTCCTTTAACTCATACTAATGCAAAAAAAAAAAAAAAAAAAAAATCTAATTTCTAATTTTTCTTTTAACTATGCAACAAGTAGGTCCCAATAATATACAAGAACGGGTTCAGTTGGCTAACTATGATGTTGAGGTCGACCCCAGTAATATAGAACAACAAATTCCTGGTATTTATTTCAATTTCTTTATTTGTATTTGTTTCACACTTAAAAAATTAGGTTATTTTTTAAGAACAAAATTTAGTGAATTGAAATCTCATTGTATTCTTTTCTTCGATACTTTCATATTGATCTCAATGTTGTAGTTATTTTTAGTGGTAGTCTTACGAAATATTAAACTCACAACTAAATATATTAAATATTAAAGACAAAATTTTTAACTAATCGTATTATAATGTGGTCTATTTATTAGAACAAATTGAGCATGAAAGCGCGAATTCAAGGGTTTTGTCAGATATCACAAATCATGATGACCAAACTTCTACTAGAATGCGTACTCATATGGGACAGTTAGCACATTCAAATAGGTCACAAATATCTTATGGGATGCTCTCAATTCCTCCCCACAATGGTGAGCTTAGTATATAATTTTATCTGTATATAGATATGTGATTAGTTACAAAGAAAATTCTTATACTGAATGTTGGATATTCATGTAAAAATATCAGAAGAAGAACATGCAAATAGAACCAATTGTCATGTGCGCCAAACCAGAGGAAGAAGAAACCACAATTGTGCTAGAAATTATAATGAGAATCGGGGTATCCTAGGTTGCCAATTATCTGCTCCAACCACATGTCCGTACTGCTATGCACGATTGTTTGCTCGAGAAACTTTGAATATGTGTTGCTTGAAATGAAGAATTTTTTTACCCCCAATACAATCCCCACCAGATATGTTGTTTTAGATATTCTTATATCCTAATCAGCGTTAAAGAGCATATCTTTCAGCATACAACTACATTGACGGGTGTTACACATCTCTAAAGATCTTTTTATATTATGTCAAGTCCACATCTATCATAGGTATACGAAGCTATTCAGCATTATACAAAAAGTTCAAAATTCTATCAGCCATTTACATAAAAATTAAAACTCTATAAAAGATGCTAATTACACCATGTAGCAACTATAAATTGACTACTCCCTTTGATGACATGCTTCATCGTGAACCAAGGTTCTAGGCAGTTGCATCTTTTATATGCATGCCTCTTTTTCTCCATAGGCGAGTGAAGAAAAGCTTTCATCATCATATCTGTAATAGAAAAGAAACATGACATTCAAATGGTGTAGTAAAGGAATACATACAGTTACAAATATAATACAAAATGCAGAAAAAATATACCAAAATATAGTTTCATATAACAAATGACGAATGTGGGGTCGATATAATATAAAAGGATCTTTAAAAATGTGTAATACCCGTAATAAGAGGCTAAAAAGCTAGAACATGACATGTAGCTTTGGCATAACGTAAAAGATCGTTTGGAAAAAATATCAATTGACAGCAACGAAGAAAGCTAATGTATTTCTCTTTTATTCTTTATTTGTCTGTCTTCTCTCTCTCTTGCCTTTACGTTGGCTTCTTCAACCGTGTCATCAAATCTCAGTTCTCTGTTGACAAATTTCATTGGGGCATAATAGTTAGACAAATTAAACAATGACAGCGATTTTATAAAAAAAATTCAGAAAACTGGAGGCAAAGGGATGAAACAAATTTACTTAGAAGAAATGAAAACTAATTTTCCTCTTCTTTCTGTCTTGTTTTACGTTCTAATAAGCAATAGACGCAGCAGGGCAAAATTAAACACAATAAAGTTCACTGAGGCATAATATATCATTGCTAGAAAAGGAACCATTCGCTTTTAGGTTTACAGTTTTTCCGTTAGTGTAACAGAAGCACTGAATTGGGAAGATCTAGAAACAAAATGCACACCCCAAAATCCGGAAATAACTTACATTTACTTCGTCAATGATGACCAAACAAAAACCCTGAACTTTGAATTGCAATAGAACTTAAAATGACTTTGAATTGCAATCGAACTCCATTAAAGATTCAACTAATTTAGCATCTTTAACTTTCCAAGTAATTGACTAAGCTCAAGTTGATGCAAAGATGAAATTACGTTGTAAATACACTCGCCCAAGATAATTAATTGTAAATGACACTATCCCAAGTTCCAAATTATATTCAAAATTTCAGTTGATTTAATGTTACTTTGTTTGACATATAGGCACTCACACACAAAAGAATTAGGGTATATTGTTTACAATTTAGAAGATTGTTATTGACATATTGTGTGCTTTAACTATTGGTGTTTGTACTTTTTGTGGTGGGAAACATGAATTTTATAGCTTGTGGTAAAATACAATATTACAGAAGGCCAGAAGAGAAATTCGAATGAAAAGTTTCTTAAAATCATCAAAAAAGAACAACATAAATGTTAAAATGAAAATATAACTTTGTACATCGCACGTAGGATCCGTGATTACAACCAATTTACACAAATCTTACAAAATTAATCATGTTTTAATTGAAAATTCTAAAACTGATCTCACTACGTAAACATAATTCAACTTTGTGAACTCAAATCCAGAATGATGTGAACAAATTCTCGCTTTAGTGTAGCAAGACCAAAGAACTACCATGATCGAGCTTCATACCAAATTCCAAGAAAATTTAGATTCATGATTAAAATAGATTTTCAAACGCATAAATGAGTAATACTCACTCAAATTCAAAACATAACGTTCAACTCAAAACCAATATCTTCCCCTCCTCCCTATCTTTCTAGCAATCAAATTTAATAAATTCCTACATAACGGCTCCAACTTTACTAATTAAAACAAAAACCTATTTGTAATACCGTATTAGCATATGTAGCTGAATCCTAAATAATTTTTTTCATAAAACTGGGTAATGCACCAAATCCGCAGCAGTTGATGATCAACCAAACATGGGAAAGCAAACAACCCATCACCAAATTTCCCAAATCCAAATTACATAAATCATACAGTATATTGCTATACACTAACAAAAAGTTCCAGTCTTTAACGTTCAGCAAAATGAAGCCACAGTTAGAGCGGATCTCTACAAAGGACTTGAAGACTCTCTAAATGCAGGTCAACACAATGCAGGTATATATATCGTTTCAGTCATTGTTATTTAGAAATATAACTTTGTTTAAAGTGTGTACAATATATATAGCTAATTGAAAATAAAATATTATTAGGTAGCATCGGGCGTAGAATTATTTTACCATCATCATTTGTTGGAAGCCCACGTGACATGTACCAACGATATCAAGACGCAATGACTTTGGTTCAAAGATTCGGAAAGCCAGATCTTTTTATTACCATGACATGTAACCCAAGTTGGGAAGAAATCAAAAGCGAATTACTCGCTGGACAAACTCCACAAGATCGCCCTGACTTACTCACTAGAGTATTTCGTGCAAAACTTGAGCAAATAAAAGAAGACATCATTGAAAAGGGGGTATTGGGCAGTGTTGTTGCTTACGCATACGTTATTGAGTTTTAGAAACGTGGTCTTCCACATGTGCATATGCTGGTTGTATTAGATGAAAATGATAAGATCAATAACCTAGATGAGTATGACCGAATTGTTAAAGCTGAAATACCAAATGAAGATGTAGAGCCTCAACTTTATAATGTGGTGTTAAAGCATATGATTCATGGCCCGTGTGGGATTCATAATCCTCTATCTCCATGTATGAAAAATGGGAGTTGTAAGAGAAAGTTTCCCAAACCATTTGCACCAGTCACCGTTCAAGGGAATGATTCGTATCCAATTTATCAAAGGCGAGGAAATCGATTGCCCGTCTCACTTAATCGACAAGGAAACATAATGGTTGATAATAGTTGGGTCATTCCATATAATCCATGGTTGCTGTTAAGGTATGATTGTCACATCAATGTCGAAATTTGCGCAAGCATAAAAAGTGTCAAGTACTTATATAAGTATGTTTACAAAGGCCCAGACAGAGTGACAGTTGAAGTGCAATCAGACCCTCAATACGATGAAATAAAGCAGTTTCAGGATGCAAGATGGGTTTGCGCACCAGAGGCATTATGGAAAATATTCAAGTTCATTATTAATCGAATTTATCCATCTGTTGAGCGAATGCAAATACATCTTCCTAATATGCACCAAGTTCAGTTTCGTGCCGATGAAAGCATAACAAATATTCTACATGATGAGAGTACAAGAAAGACAATGTTGACTGAATTTTTTACACTTAATCATGTGGATGCAGAAGCGCGACATTATTTATACATGGAGACACCATCACATTACAGATGGATTCAAGCTCAAAGAAAGTGGTCTAAAAGAAAGAATCGTAACAAGGTTATTGGGCGAATATATGCAGTTTCACCTGCTGAAGGCGAAAAATTTTACCTTCGGATTCTTCTTAATCATGTTAGAGGACCAACATCCTTCACAAACTTGAGAACAGTTAATGGGGTTTTGCATCCAACATTTAAGCAGGCAGCAGAACAACGAGGTTTGTTAGAAAGAGATGACAGTATTCGACAATGTTTGTTAGAGGCCTCCACAATTCAGATGCCGTCGGCTTTAAGAAGATTATTCGTCACCATATTGGTATATTGTGCACCAATTGGTGTTCGAGGGTTATGGGATGAGTTCTGTCCATTCATGATGGAAGATTATGTTTCCATGACTAACATAACTCCCACACTTGCTACCAACATACTCTTGCGTGAGTTGAACATACTTTTGGTTCAATTTAACAAGAGTATAAACGAGTTTGATTTGCCCCAAATGACAAGAAGAAATGAATCAAGTTCAGGAATGACGGGATGTATTGAAGATGAAATATCCATATGTATTCCACAACAAGATCTTGATGCAATTGAACGCTTAAATGATGACCAAAAAAGTGCGTTTAACATAATAATGGGTGCAGTTCAACGATCGGATAATGCAACTTTTTTTGTGGATGGTCCCGGTGGAACTGGAAAAACTTACTTATATCGCGCATTGTTAGCAAGCTTGAGAAGGTTGGGGCACATAGTATTAGCAACAGCATCATCTGGAATAGCAGCTACGATATTGCCTGGTGGGAGGACAGCACATTCTAAATTCAAGATACCACTTAGTCTCGATGCATCATCGATGTGTTCGATCGGTAAACAATCTGATTTAGCAAAGCTAATACAAAAGGCAAAGGCAATTATTTGGGATGAAGCAACAATGACGCATCGTCATGCATTTGAAGCACTCGATCGAACGTTCAGAGACTTAACAGATATTGACTTACCATTTGGGGGGAAGATAATGATATTTGGGGGAGATTTTCGACAAGTTCTTCCTGTTATCCGGAAAGGAACCAAGTCCGAACTAATCCAAGCAAGTGTTGTTAAGGCATCATTTTGGTCACAAGTAAAGATTTTAAAACTCAAACAAAACATGAGATCCATAAATGATTGTGAATTTTCAGAATTTTTACTTCGTGTTGGTGATGGGAATGAAGATGTTATTATGGATGATATGGTAAAACTACCTGAATGCATGGTGATACCATGGGAGAGTGAGCATTCCATTAATCAATTAATTGCCAAAATCTTCCCTGACTTAGAGGATCATATAAATGATGCAACCTACATGGTGGAAAGGGCAGTGGTAACTCCTACAAATGAAGACGTTGATATGTTGAATGAAAAGATAATCAATATGTTTCCGGGTTTAGAAGAGACAATGTATTCATTTGATTCAGTTGAGGATGACGCAAGGAATTTGTATCAGCCAGAGTTCTTGAATTCAATCTCACTTGGTGGTTTGCCTCCGCACAAGTTAACTCTGAAAAGAGGTGCTCCAATCATGCTTTTAAGAAATATTGATCCGAAATTGGGATTGTGTAATGGTACAAGATTATTGTGTCGTGGTTCTTATCGAAATCTTATTGATGCTGAAATTCTAACTGGACAATTTGCCGGATCCAGAGTTTTCTTACCAAGAATCCCTCTCAAAAGTACTGATACTGCTGGGCTTCCATTTGAACTTACAAGAAAGCAATTTCCAGTGAAACTAAGTTTCTCTATCACTATAAACAAATCTCAAGGTCAGACAATACCACATGTAGGCGTTTACCTTCCAGATCATGTCTTCAGCCATGGACAATTATATGTGGCTTTATCGAGGGGGGTCTCAAAGTCAACCACAACCGTGTTAGTAAAAAGTGGCTCCATAGTAGGCCAACAAGGTGTATTTACACGGAATGTAGTATACAAAGAAGTCTTGCTTCATTCCAGCTAATTATGGTGATTCCTAATAGGTAACAGCTTTATTAACGATAACCTTTCAGTATGCATTTCTCACTTATCAATTAACTCTTTTTATTTGATTTTTAATTTTCTCACTATCGTTTGTAGATTGGCAATGAAAATTTGAAGCATCAATCATGAACAAATGGGTGGAAATTGCAGCATTGATGTCAATATGTAAACTTTCTTTAAAAAAAAAACAGTGACATATACACTCTATGAGTATTGTGAATAATGTACATATTGTTATGTAGGATTTATATTTTGACATTTAAATTGTTTTGTATTTTGCTACGAGTACTTACTGTTTTCATCTACTATTTTTTTTTTATTTACATATACTTGCTATCGTTCATAGGCTTTAGGTAGGAACTTGCATCTAAAATCGTATGTTGTTTGATAAGTGCATGAATAACATTTAAATCATTACTTTACACAAAGTAAAAATGAAAAACATGATAACTTTTTAGGACGTGCATGATAAAAAAAAAAGTTCCTCTTTGCACAATACATTTAAAGTATATCTTGACAATTACAATGGGAAAAACTAACACAATACACCTTTAGGGGCGCGTAGCGCCCGTGATGCAAAAATGCCTCTCGCACGCACGTTAGTGCGTGCAGAGAGGCTAGTTTATTTATATTTTAAGTTTAATGTTTAAAATTAGTTTTAAAAATTGAAAATGATATATTTAATTAAAAAGTAACTAGGGTTAGAAGAAGGGACACATGGCAGCTAATATGTTATATGGTGAGCATATACCAAAGTTAATATGGGTGAGCAAAAATGCACCTTTTTTTTTTTTTTTTTTTTTGGTTCTTTGCTTTGTTTCTTTTTTTTTTTTTTTTTTTTTTTTTTTTTGTTTCTTGTCTTGGTTGATTGCTTCTCTTCGTTGATTCAAATGGGGTGGATGCCTTCTCCTTTTGTAGGCATGGATGGAATCTTGGATATGTCATCAGTACAATTTGAATTCATGGCCTCTCCTATCAAAGTGGAGCAACAAGGTGCCATCGAACGATCACTGACAATGAACGACTTTAGATTAAAAATCAAGTGCATCAAAGATAATTAGAGAAACTACATTCAACTAAAGAGTTTCAACAACAACAACAATGGAGCTTTATTCCATTAAGTGAGGTCAATTGTATGAATCCTAGAATTCTACTGCGCTTGGTTTTACATCAAGTCTTCCGTTAGCTCCAAGTATTCCATGTCTTTTCTTAAAGTCTATTTCCAAGTCTTTCTAGGTCTTTCTCTACCCATTTGCCCTGAGCCTTACTCTTATAATTGCATTTTCTAACCGGAGCATCGGTTGGCCCTTGGTTCACATGTACAACCATCTTAACTGATTTTCTCTCATCAAAAGAGTTTCCATTTCTAATTTTCTTTGGACCCTTACCTCTTTGATGTAAACAACTTTGCTATCTGGCGTATTTTGCTACATGCTGTAAACATGAACTTAGCGATCAGCATCACAAGGCCACTAAACATGTGATTCAGGAAATGTGGCCCCTTGAGTACTTTTCTTTCATTAGAAAGAAGGGAATTTGCCAAGACAAAGAAGAAAAAGCAGCCAAACACAAAAGCCGCTATGGCAAGTCCGGGAGAAGGGCCGGCCATCAAGTACTGCATATGTGCCGGTAATGAACGAAACCACCATCGCAATCAAAGCCCACAAAATCAAAGACACTACCATGAAAAACGTGTCAGATATCTCATTCTCATAATTTGGATTTGTGTAAACGGAGGAATAAAGGAGCACCAGGAGGGAACAACTAGACACGGCCACGGCTATTGTATCCATTATCACGAATGCTTTGAACGCCGCACTTCTTGATAGAACTATGGCACCATGGTCAAGGCCTTTGGCACTTTGGTAACCACCAGGCATGGTAAAACCGGCTGCGAATGTTACAGGTGCTATCAAGGTAGCCACTAGCAGATGTGTTTCTTTTGCTTTATTCCAACTTTTTCCGATTTCCTTGAAACCTTGATTTTCTTCCACTTTATCGCGACCATCTTTGTGGCTGTTGATTCTGTGACCTGGTCTACCACCCCGCTTTTGCAATTGCACTTTATGATTTTCCTGCAAGACAGAAACGTATGACAATGTGCCGGAAAACATAACTCAAAATTTTCGGACACAAGAAGGAGATGACTTCTGATTATGTACCTGCTCTTATGACATGCTTATCTTGTCCTCATTAGCTAGAATGATATCAAAGGCGTTGAAGTTTTCCTTGTTGAACGTCATTCTCAATATTCGAATTTAAAATTTCTTGTTTATAAATGAAAAGGAATATCAGTAATGAATAGTACTAAGACGTTTTAAAAATCATTCAAATCAAATATCTAGAATTATATTTCATTTTGCTAAAAAAGTTTAGGGGAAGCCACTTAGTAATATGGTCTTATATTATTCATCTTCATTTGTAAGTAAGAGGTGTTAGGTTCGATTCTCGTCAAAGGCGAATTTGAACCATATTATTGCACCTATTGTGAGGCTTAGCCTACTCCCCCATCCCATTAGTATAAAAATATCGTTTGTTAAAAAATAAAAAATAAAAAAAAGTTTAGGAGAAGGGAACTGTATTGCATCTTAAGGTGTACATACCACAAATCTCTTTGAAAACTTACAAGAACTAAAAACTCGTTATTTATAAGATTTGGGCAATATTGAGCTTGTTAATTGGACCATTGTCAAACAACTTAGGCCCAACAGGCCCAATTGAATCGGGGTTACCTAGGGGAGTTTTAGACTTGGTTCTGTAACAACTGACCCGATTGCAGATAAGCATCGAAAATCCGAAGCGAAGAAGGTGGTCCTCATTAGCTAGAAACCCTACCGGCGCACCGGAGCTCCTTCGCAGCGCCAATTGTATTCATCGTCGTCGTCGCTTTCCAATTCCTCTCTAGGTGGCTGGAACAGTTAAAGAAGGTAATTTCCTCGACCATTTTTAACTTGCATTCAAACAATTTAATCCTATTTTTTGTGCGAAATTGAGCTCTTAATCTTTTTTTTTATGCTTTAATTTCATTTATTCTGAAATTAAAATTTGAATTTGGGTGGATTTTTTCGTTGGCAGGGAGGAGTTAAGAGTGCTACGGCAACCCGATTGCGTGGAGAAATTAAAGGCCTCTTGAAGGAGGCAAGCTCCTTGTCACAGTGAGTGATTTTTTATTATTTAATCATGTTTTTCTCCAATTTATCAAATGGAATTTTATTTATTTTTTCATTTTTGGATTTTCGGCATTGTATTGATGGTTGCAGCTTCAAATTTCTTCGCTTTATAGCATCAGGTGTTAGTGTGGATTATTTGCAGTTGCATGATCTTTGTTTTTGCCTGAATCCAGGCCGTCGACATTTGCGCAAGCTGTGAAACTTCGGAGGATGGCAGCTGCTAAGGAGAAAGAACTTGCAAATTGTTAGTTTGCAACTCCAGCCCTTGGATTATTGGTTTATGTTGATCATATGTATAATTATATCCAGGCATTCCTAAAACACGTATACTACGTGTATATGGTTGCAGAGAGTAATTATATGACATCCTTGGGCTCAAAGTTGTGTTTGTATAATAGCGTCCACGTATTTTATGAGTATGATGTTGTTAAGCAAAGTATTGAATGGCGAAGACAGTTTAGGTAGTTGTTCAATGTCATTAGCGTCTAGGTGTCCCGATACAAAAATTTCATACAGAGAGATGAGTTTAGTATAAGTTTAGTCTTGTCTCAATGCCAATTAGGTGAATCTATGACTTTGAAATTTCATTTCCCGTTTTTCTTCAGTCTGTCACGTCCCTCTCTTCTGTTGTACCGCATATAGCTTAATGTTTCTACACCCTCTTTTTCCCGCTTTACCTTTCAAATTTTCTGTCGGTACTATAATCATTTTGTCTCAAACATTTTAATTTATTTCGATCATTTCATTTTTGTATAGTTATTATGAGTTGATTCTAACATATTACGTGCCTTCCAGATCAAGAATTACACAGCAAGGAGATAAAACTTTCAAATGATTTGTATCTGAGAATTTTGTTCATCTTAAAGTTAGTTCTCAGTATTTTGGACTTTCGAAATATTTATTAGCTTTCTTCGATAACAAAGAATTGCCTGAGATAGGGTTCTTAATAGATTCACTTGGTTGTCCATTTAGGTCTTGACGTATATTGTGCTGGTTTGCTGGTTTTGGAGGGTTCGTGTTGCCTCCATATCGCAACAACTTGTGCAACCCTTTGGTAACGTGTTCTCGATCGCTACAACTTGTGTAATTTGTACCAGTAGTGTGCATTACTCTTTCAGTTGCTGTGAAATTGAGTTTATCGTTGTAGTATGCAGAAAGCTCACCTCTTGTGAAAATACGATTCTTTTAATTTATAGAGCATAAGGAAATTCCAGTAAATATGAACGGGTTCAGATTGTGGAAAAATGTTTCAGTGATCAGTTCTGGGCTCTGAGATCATAATACTGTTTATGGATTTTGTGTTTAAATGATTCTTGTTCTTGGAGCTGTGAATGACAAGGGATGGAATAAGGAATTTTCAGTACGGTGACGGCTAAAGGTTGTGCAAATGCAGCAGCTCTTACATCACAATACATTTATATATTTATGTTCCAAATTTTGGTACATTGCCAACTCACAAACTTATCTAACATGGAGCTAGAAGACAAACACTTAACCAACACCATTTGCAAATTTAATCTGGACAGTACACTTGTCACTTGATTATTACTAAACCTTAAAACTAGCTAGCCGTCAAATTAAAAAGAAAAAACAAACAAAAGTAAACTTCTTGCTGCTTCTGCTACTTCTGTTGCTTCGAATTCCAGTTACCAGAAACGATTTAGGCTCCAACAGCTACTCAGTCGGCCGAGGCCTGTAAGTTCGCTTCAAGAGCATCGCGTTAAAAGTTAAAACAGTGCAGTAATTGAGTTAACGGTCGATTATCAGCAATACAATGCCTAAATAAATACAAATGGTGCCGGAAGGAAACCGGTGCCTTCAGTATTTCTCTCCATGAAGAGACTGATAAGTGCATAGTAGAAGAAAAAGCAGCCAAGCACAACAGCTGCAATGGCTAATCCCGGATAATGACCGCCAAGTACTGCGTATGTGCCAGTAACGAATGCAATCACCATTGCAATCAAAGCCGACATTGTAAAATTTACTACCGAGCGAAAAGTATCAGAGGTTTGGGTCATGTACTTTGGTTGAATGGAGGAATACAGGAGCATCAGGACAGAACAAATAGACAAGGCCATGGCTAGTGTATCTGTTATAACAAATGCCTTGAACGCTGTGTTTCTTAATAGAATCGGGGAACCCTGGTCCGATCCTCTTTCGCTATGGTAACCACCGGGCATGGTAAAACCCGCAGCAAAAGTTACGGTTGCTATCAGTGTAGCCACCACCAGATGGGTTTCTTTTGCTTTCGTTAAGCTTTCTCCAGTGTCTTTGCCATCAACGTTGTGGCTTTTAATTCTGTGACCTGGTCTACCGTCCTTCCTCTGCAATTTCAGATGGGTTTCTTTTGCTTTCGTTAAGCTTTCTCCAGTGTCTTTGCCATCAGCGTTGTGGCTTTTAATTCTGTGACCTGGTCTACCGTCCCTCCTTTGCAATTTTATTTTTAAATCTTTCTGCAAGACATAGAATACTAATGTTATCTTCACAGACAAATCTAAGGACGAAGTTTATTACCACCCTTATTATCGGTTATGTAATTGTACGGACAAGTTATCCTTATTTGGATAGCTTAGGATTTACTTCATGGACAGAGCCGGAATGATTTTTTTTAGTGGGGTAACATAGTAACAGGTTTGTCTTCTGTAGTCCAGTCTACTGGGTAGCCCGACTTTTTAAACAATTTCACCATTCGATTTCTTAACATCAGTTTTTATCGTCCAATAATAATGTAAAAGAAAATTTGAATAGTAATGTAAAAGAAAATTTCCAGACTGTTGAAGAAAAATTGCATAATAATGTAAAAGAAAATTAGAGGTGATACATACCAGCTCAAGTGCGTTGCTTATGCTGTCCTCATTAGCTAGAATGGTGTCGAAAGCGTTTAAGTTTTTCTTGTTGAATGACATTATATCAATTTTAGCATCAAGTATAATAGCATCCTTCCAGAGGAAGGGATACTGAGCAAGGTAATGGATAGGTGCATTGCCGTTAGCATCCTTGTCATTTAAGAGGATGTTGCTAAGCCACAGATCCTTTAACACAAAATCAACTATGTCATCTTGATGGCTCTTTATGGCATAGTGAAGCACATTCTGACATTGGTTGTCGACCAGTTCACAACAATCAGGGCAATGAGTAAGAAGCTCTCTCATTATATCTAAATGGCCTTCGGACGCTGCAAAGTGAAGAGCTGTGCGCCCACCATTGTCAGCAATGTAGGCGATAGATTTATCACATTCCAATAGTTGCTGAACCATTGAAAAGTGACCAAAATTTGCAGCCATGTGAAGCGGAATGTGTCCTAGTTCGTCTGCTGCTTTTGCCAAATTTCTATCCGATTTTAGTAATGCTGTCGTCATTACTTATGTATAAAAAGAAAAAGAAAACACAAATAAATACTTCAAGACACATATATATTAATGAATCATGAAATGACAGATAAAAGGAATATTCTTTAACTATTTTCTATATACATTTACCTTCATCATTGCGGATAACTGCAGCGTGCAAAGCCGTTCTACCATTTGGGCCTTCATAAGTTGGATTTTTGCAACCTTCGAGTATTTGACGACAATAATGATCGTATCCCCTCTCGACAGCTAGGTAGAGAGGAGTCTCGCCAGCATCATTAGCAGAGTAGGAAAACTCAGGATCTGCTTTGATTAATATCTCCACCACAGCAAAGTGATTAAAGCGGACAGCTTCGTGCAGTGCTGTGTCCTTCTTGTTGTTGGTTTTCCTGATGAGCTTTTGGTCCTGCGAGGGGGCATCTTTTGATGAGATTGCACAGCCTTGCTCGAGGTCGCCTGGATGATAAGTAGCTTGGATGAGAGCTCTGAGTATACCAGCAAGCCCATATCTTGCCACAGCGTGCAAGGGGGCATCTTCTGATGAGATCGCACAGCCTTGCTCAAGGTCGCCTTGATAATAACTTTTTGTAGCTTGGATGAGAGCTCTGAGTTTACCAGCAGGCCCATATCTTGCCACAACGTGCAAGGGGGCATCTTCTGATGAGATCGCACAGCCTTGCTCAAGGTCGCCTTGATAATAAGTTTTTGTAGCTTGGATGAGAGCTCTAAGTATACCAGCACGCCCATATCTTGCTGCAATGTGTAGGGCAGTATCACCACTCTCGTTCTGCTTCCATAGTAGTGCTGGACACATTTCAAGGATACCGTCCACAGTGGTCGTTGACTTGAGTATCTCATCTTCAGATTCTCTGTACGGTGGTTGCATACAGCATGCTGTATAGATATGAAGGACTGTGTTCTTAGTTGCAGTCAACATTTTGTCCAGATTCTTGCCTTGTTCCTTAAGGACATCGAGATTGCCTTGTTTTGCAGCGTTGAAAACGTCAGGATTCATGCTACTTATTAAAACTGTACTATTGTTGCCTTCTAACTTTACAGCTTCTTGGACGTCGGTCTGATCTGCTAGCTCGATCTGGTTACCGACATCGGTTGATGCTAACGGAATAATAGAACTCTCAGACTGATCAGCCAAATTGGAGGTATCCATGTTGAGGGGGGTGAAGATGCAGGAAGGGGAGAAAGGCAAAAATCACAAGGCCAGTTCTGTTGACTAGTTCAATTTGCAATCTGTTGAAGGTTCATCACTTAGGTCTTATTATATATTCCTATAAAATTTTGTTGCAAGTGAGGTTAGGTGAATGATTCCTACGTTTTTTGTTATTTTAAAGGAAAACTAATGAAAATGATTTGAAAAGTTTTAGTTTTAATTAAAAAAACTATGTTATAAGTTTTGTTTAATGATTAGTACAAGACCCATATTAAAATAGTCCAACTAAAAATAGCCCAACTATAATAAATTATGATATGTCGATTTTCGTCGTTAATGGAGTTCATCGTTGTTTTGTAGACCTTCTTCTTTTTCTTTGAAACAAAAATATAGATCCTTATGCTATTTAATTTATATTTTGTATTATTTCATTGAAATGTGATTGTCGTTATTATTCAGTGTATTTGAGGTAATGTTTTTCAATTTTTCTTCATTAGTGGAGTTCATCGTTTGTTTATCCAGAAAATAAATTTGAGATTCGCATGCTATTCAATAATAACGACGGGCCACTGTTTCTGGACTGTAAAAAAAAACTGTTTCTAGATTTTAAGTAACATTATTTTTGGAATCTAAATCATTGTTTCTGAAATCTAAGTTACTGTTTATGGAATTTAAGTCACTATTTCTGGATTAAAATGAAATAGACACATTGTATCTTAAACGTAAGCTAGAAAAGAAATAGTGAAATTTACTGTATCTCGATTCAAAGCAAAATAAGCACCTTGTTTCTTAAATATAATCAATTGATGCATGAAAATAAAAGAAACAGTCAAAGGTTAAAAAATAGATTGTTTCTAAAATCTAAGTCACTATTTCTGGAATTTAAGTCACTGTTTCTGAAATTTAAATCACTGTTTATGGATTTTGGTTATTTTCTTTACAAATACAGTGTTTGTTTGTGCACAGACAAAACAAACATTGTATCTGATTTTTTTTTTTCCAGAAATAGTGTTATGAAAGTTGAACGCCATGGTTGAAGTCACTTTTCTCTCTCTTTCTCGTTTGCTTTTTCCATTTTCCTTTTCTTTTCCAAATTTTGTAATTGGGAAAGGTGGTTCTATCACAAGTAGAGATATATTTTTCTTTCTAGTTTTATGGAGAAATGGGTGCAAGGAATTGGAATTTTTGGTTTTTTCCACTTCCATGGAAAATGGATTCAATTTGAGTGTCCTCCTCCTTGATTCAATTGCACAACTATTTTCCTTTTCGTTTATTTTTAATTGTACTTTTGGAGATTGGATTCAATAATTTGGGATTTTTTTCTTCTCAAAGTTTGGTTATTCTCCAAATCTGAATCCAATTTGGACAAGGAAATTAAAAAACTGATATATGCACCAAGAATGAAGGAAGAAAAACCCAAAAAACGAAACACTGATCGACGCTCTACTTGGAGCTGACGTGAGTTTTCTCCTTCATGAGAACAAACAAGTTTCAGACATGCGCCTCCTTGTTGGGTTAATTTTGTTAACTTATTTTTGTTTCTGTTGGGCTCTGTAATTCAGCCCATGTAGAATTGGAGACCTTTGTCCTTATGATTAATTTTGAAGTGCTTTTGGTTAAAGAAAATTACAAGGTGATTTTTTATTAAAATAATCTTGGTCTAAGCATTTTTCATTAAAGCTCCCTATTTTTAATTCTTGGATTCCCTAAACACGCGCTAACCTTTAAGGGCTAGCGAAGTTGTTTAATAAACATAGTAAATTGCATAATATGTATGTATTATTAAATGGTAAGCAAGTTGGCATTTCTTATTCTATAGTTGACGCGCATTATATGCCGACAGGAGATCAGCTGGTTGATATTATTTACAAGACAATTGAAAAACGATTTTTGTACACTTGTTTTCGCAGCATGCACACCCTTGGTTAATTTTGATTTTTAAATAGAATAGAATTAATTTTATGATTTGTTAAAAGAAATTGACAAAATAAGTACTTATAAAAAATTGAAGGCCTTTGTTTTATGCAAATGCTATTTAGGTGATTGAAGGTCTTTGTTTTATGTTTTTTAAAAGAAATTGACAAAAAGGTACTTATAAAATATTCAGGGTCTTTGTTTTATGAAAATGCTGTTTAGCGATTGAACGTCTTTCTTTTATGTATTGTTAAAAAGAAGTACTTACAAAAAATTGAAGGTCTTTGTGTTTATGAAAATGCTATTTAGGGAATGAAGGTCTTTCTTTTATATTTTGATTAAAAAAAGATTGACAAAAAAAAGTACTTGTAAAAAATTGAAGGTCTTTGTTTTACGAAAATGCTATTTAGGGATTCAAGGTCTTTCTTTTACGTTTTTTAAAAAAAGGGGCTAATTTTTAGTTACATCTCCAAAATTTTATTTTGATCTCACTTTACCTTCCGTACTTACAAATCATCACTTTACTTCATGAAACTCAAAATTCATTATACTTTGACTTGTGGACTATCTCTTCTCTCTTCAACTTATAGGTTGCTTTCTAAAACATATATAGGATGCAACACCCAATAAGACTATGTCACATGTGCAATAAATTTGATTACATATGGAAGAATGGCCGAATGAATGAAAGAGGGAGGATTATTGGAGTCGGACTAGGCGAATTTATTTAAATCTATTATATTTCGTGTAAAGAAGTGTTAATTTATACTTAAAAAAATAAACAATTTTATCAAAAACTACAAAATATAATGACATATATATATAATATGAAGTAGTGGAACATAGTGAAAACATAGAGAACAAACATATAATGTGTGTTCATTTAAGTCTAAAATAAGTCTCTTACAATTTACTGAAAAAATAAAATGCAAAATGAAAGTTATCTATTTTCTGTTTAAGTGAGTCGCAACCTAAGCAGGTGCCTAGACGGGTCTGGGCGGACTAGGCGGGTACCTTAGCAGGTCTAAGCGTCATTTCTTAATTTTTAAATGCCTAAGCATTAATCGAGATGGTGGCCAACCTCTAACGCATAGGCAGCACTAGGCGAGGATTTTTAAAACAGTATAATAAATTAATATAAAATATTAACGTGACATAATCATGATTATTTAAAAAAGAAAGAATGAAACGAGAGGAAAAAAAAAAAATAGAATCCTACTTCGTTTTCAAAACCCGCGTCACTTAAAAAAGAATAAGAGAAAAATCAAAGTCAATGGGAGGTTGGGTGGTGGTTTCACATGATTGCCTTGATCCTGATGGTCAGCCTACAGTATTTCAAAGGTTATCATATCTCATTTTTTACGAATAACATATTTTTAACCATTGAAAAATATTTAGATAGTCGATCATTTAGTCATTTAAATATACTAAATTATGGATATGTTAGTTGATACTTATACCGTTGATTTTTTCCATACATATAAATGCATAAACGATATGATTCAAATGATTATTTTGCAAAGATGATATTCTGATAATTATTAAAATGTTGCTTGGTTAAGATGTTATTCACACAACATTTTTTTTAATTATGATAAATATTAAGTCTTTGTTTCAAATTTGTTCACACAATGTCTTACTATGGCATTTTAAAAAATTTAAGTCTTTGTTTTAAATTTGTTCTCACAAAGTCTTTCTATGGCATTTTTAAAAATTAAGTCTTTGTTATAAATTTGTTCTCACAGAGCCGTTCTATGGCATTTTAAAAAATTAAGTCTTTGTTTTAAATTTGTTCTCACGAAGCCTTTCTATGGCATTTTTAAAATTTTAAGTCTTTGATTTAAGTTTGTTCTCACGAAGTCTTTCTATGGCATTTTAAAAAATTAAGTCTGTTTTAAATTTGTTCTCACAAAGTCTTTCTATGACATTTTTAAAAAGTTTTTTTTTATCACACATGATCTCTGAAATTAAAAATCAATCGATGTAGTCTTTGAAAATAGGTATCGTAAATCAATGTGATCATTCTATCACAATTATATTAAAAATTATGTTGAGAAATAAGATGCCGATCCACGGCCCGAGTCAATGGACGATCCACCTTTTTTAAAATGTTGGAAGAGTCAAGGAGCAAAATTAAATGACGATGATTACGGATCTAATTATGTGAGGCTCATACACTTCACGTGTATGTCCACCCCCCGCATTACACATTGTTTGTATCCCCACCCACGTTTAAGTCCGATGCTTACGGATCTAGTTTTGATGACAGATTGACTTAATGACGATGATTATCTTAATCGGAATCAGAGGACTTATTTGACTAAGTTTTAATAGGTTGTTTTAATTAGTGTCCAGCTGGCATTGAGCGTTTGGGAGATACTCCATGTAGCCACTTGTGTGTGGTACTTGGCAACCGTCTCCTTGAATAGGTCAGGAACCGGTTTGAATACTCCAAAGAGCGTTCCCATATTTTCGGTGAACTGAAACTGCAGGTGGATGCTCAGTGCTGGGTTGGTCTCAATATGTGAAATTTGATTTGTGAAGCCGTTGGTTTGGTGGTCGATTTCGATTGGATCGAGCCGAGCGGTGCCATGTCCTGCTCACCCTATGACTCTTTCCACAGGGTGACGGAGAACCAGGCTTAGAATCTTTTCTGGCAAGTAAGAAAGATAGAACTTGACCCAATGATTGACACATCAGGGTTAGGTTTAGCTCAAGTGGTGTTGAGGGACTGGTAGGCGAGGGGTATTATTCGGCTTAAATTAATGGGCCGACGTTGGGTTTGAATGGGTCCACTACAAATGTTGAGATCCAAAAAATAGTAACACAAAAAACGTGCGCTCATCACGGTATATAATTACAAACATACCCCTAAGACGTCTATTTTCTCTCTCTCTCTCTCTCTCTCTCTCTCAAAAATCAAAGTTCTAAAAGACGCTAGACTTTAGTCGGATGGTGAGTTGGAGCCGGACTAGGCGGATTTATGTAAATCTATTATATTTCGTGTAAATAAGTGTCAATTTATACTTAAAAAAATAAACAATTTTATCAAAAACTACAAAATATAATAACATATATATTATGAAGTAGTGAAACATAGTGAAAACGTAGATAACAAACTTATAATGTGTGTTCATTTAAGTCTACAATAAGTCTCTTACAATATATTGAAAAAATAAATTGCAAAATGAAAATTGACTCGCGACATCAAAATGGTCTCTGAAATTGAAAATTGATCAATGTAGTTTTACAAGTAAGCGTCCCAAATCAATGTGGTCATTCCGTCATAATTCTATCAAAAATTCTATCATGTGCTGATGTGACACATAAATGGTCACACAAGTCTAATTAAATTAAAAAAAAATTACAAATAGGTTTAATAGTTTATTATTTAATAAAAAGTTGTCAACTCGAAAACCCAGTCTTGCAATC